TGTACACTCCTCAAAAAAATTAAAGGAACACATTTTAATCAGTGTATAGAATCAAGTCAATTAAACTCCTGGGATATTGATCTGGTCAGTTAACTAGCAGAGGGGGTTGTTAATCAGTTTCAGCCTCTTTGGTGTTTAATTAATTTTACCAACAGGTGCACTAGATGGGCAACAATGAGACTACCCCCAAAACAGGCATGGTTTTACAGGTGGAGGCCACTGACATTTTTTTCCCTACTCATCTTTTCTGACTGTTTTTCACTAGTTTTGCATTTGGGTAGGGTCACTACTAGTAGCATGAGGCCATACCTGGAACCTACAGAGGTTGCACAGACAGTCCAACTCCTCCAGGATGGCACATCAATGCGTGCAATTGCAAGAAGGTTTGCAGTGTTTCCCAACACAGTCTCAAGAGCATGGAGGAGATTCCAGGAGACAGGCAGTTACTCTAGGAGAGCTAGACAGGGCCGTAGAAGGTCCTTAACCCATCAGCAGGACCGGTATCTGCTCCTTTGTGCAAGGAGGAACCGGATGAGCACTGCCAAAGCTCTACAAAATGACCTTCAGCAGGCCATTGGTGGGAATGTCTCCTGACCAAACAATCAGAAATAGACTTCATGAGGGTGGCCTGAGGGCCCAACTTCCTCTAGTGGGCCCTGTGCTCACTGCCTGGTACCATACAGCTCGATTGGCATTTGCCATTGAACACCAGATTTGGCAGGTCCACCACTGGTGCCCTGTGCTTTTCACAGATGAGAGCAGGTTCCCCCTGAGCACATGTGACAGACGTGAAAGGGTCTGGAGAAGCCGTGGAGAACGTTCTACTGCCTGTAAAATCGTTCAGCATGACCGTTGGGGTGGTGGGTTAGTGATGGTCTGGGGAGGCATATCCATGGAGGGACGCACAGACCTCTACAGGCTAGACAATGACACCCTGACTGACATTAGGTATGGAGTGAAATCCTTGGACCCATTGTCAGACCCTACGCTGGTGCATGGGGTCCTGGGTTCCTCCTGGTGCATGACAATGCCCGGCCTCATGTGGCGAGAGTATGCAGGCAGTTCCTGGAGGATGAAGGAATTGATACCATTGAATGGCCCCCAAATCCAGCCTGACCTAAATCCAATAGAACACCTCTGAGATATCATGTTTCGGTCCATCTGACGCCTCCAGGTTACACCTCAGACAGTTCAGGAGCTCAGTGATGCATTGGTCCAGATCTGGGAGGAAATCCCCCAGGACACCATCCGTCGTCTCATTAGGAGCCTCCCCCGACGTTGTCAGGCATGCATACAAGCACATGGGGGCCATACAAACTACTGAGGACCATTCTGAGTTGCTGCAATGACATTTCAGAAAAATAGACTTGCCTGCTGCATCATTTCTTCACTTTGATTTTCGGGGTGCCTTTTGAATTCAGTCCGCTGTAGGTCGATCATTTTTCATTTCCATCAAACGATGTGGCATCCTTACATTCCTAACACATTACCCAGTCCATGTCACTATAGAGATCCAACAGGAGATTTGTCCCCATTGAGATCTGATGTGTTTTCATAGTCTTCCTTTCATTTTTTTTTGAGCAGTGTATACCTTCATTGGAGAGATTTCCTGTCTCAATGGCCATAATCTGGGACAGGAATCCAACATACAGCAAACAATTGCAACATAAAGCTGACTTTCCTGGGCAAACATGTCTGCTTTTTTCAGAGCCCCCTCTGTCCATCCAACACTAAGGGCTTTAAAGAGTAAATCCAGTCTGACTCTAGCTAAGGCTAAACCCACTCCCACCCCCACTCTAAGATTAGTCTATCTACCCTATGAAAGGAAGAAGTGCACACTTACCTATTCTGAAGCTGCTCTGATCTGGTCACATGATCAGGTCCCATTGCTGGCTTCAGTATAGAGGAAGGATGGCCACCAACATATGCCCCTTAGTAAGTCTATGGGTGACATCACCACCCAGGCTCTGCAGCTGTTGTCACTGCTTCTCCTCCACACTGAAGCTGGCCCTGGCACCCAATCATGAGACCGGACCAGAGCGGCTTCAGAATAGGTAGGTATAGGTGTCAAGGTCCTACCTTTCCCTAAGGTTATGTTACTCCATGTGCTGGCGTTCATCTTGGATTCTGCTGTGCATGGTGGGAATCCTTTTATGCCTTCAGGTCTCTGAGGTCCATCCCCCAGAGGGGTGTGGCTGATGACATATAAGCCTGTGGTCCGCACATGCTCTTTGCACTTGTGTCTTGTGTCTTTGTGTCGCTATTACCCTGTTCTGACTCTCGTGACTCTCCTGGTATCTGATTCAGCTTGTACTCGACTATTCTTTGTATTCTCCTTTGATCTGACTCTCCGTTGCTGAACCCGGCTCGTGACCTGTGATTCTCGTCTGCTGTCCTGTACTGTTTAGTCCTATTGTTGTTGACCCAACTACTCTTTTGTCTCTTCCACCTGCTACATGCCATTGGTGGCGGCCATTGCCGCAGCTGGGGTGTCTCGGGGGCCGTGACCTGGTTCCTGGCTGCGTCAAGTCCATCCCCACCATCAGGGGCCCTGGTGAAGGGCAGCCTGGGACTTAGACTCCGCGCCCTGAGGGACTTCGGTCTGTGGGTGGTGGTTGTCGTCAGCCAGTGTGTTACATTGTTAGGCCTGCCTGTCCGTTCCCCGGCCCCTGCCCTGACAATAGGCATCTTTTCTTTTACAAGGTAGATAGAATTGTCTTAGAATGGGGGCGGGTGGTGGGAGTAGCTTTTAGAATTTGAATGGAATTTACACATCAAAAAGCCTTTTTACATAAACTGCCAAAAAAAAACCCCAACCGCAGCCTCTGATGCTTTCCTGAGGTACACAGGTGATGTCACCATACTTTCTGGAAGAGAGATGGGAGCTCAAAATCTACTGTAGTGCATTCTCGCAGCTGCAAGGCATGGTGACAACCCATGCCTCCTCGAAGCATCAGAGGTTGAGGATGCTTATAAATGACATCATAAAGCAATTTGTGTTGGAATGGGGAGAGGGTAAGGGGGTGGGAGGTCAACTCAGCATACTTCCCATTTTGCCATGGAAAAGTCCGGGGTAAATAAAAGATCTATTCTTTTCCCTGCTTCATTCAAAATACAGGCTGTGGTTTCTGTTCAAGCATGACTGCTGGTTGAACTGGATGGACTTGTGTCTTTTTTCAACCAAATTAACTATGACTGTGCCCTGCGTACAAAGCCAGCTCCATAAAGACACGTGACCATTTGGTGTGGAGGAACTCTGTGTTCTCCATAAAGCCCTGACCTCAACCCTACTGGGATTAATTTTTTTTTTTTGGTGCCCAATGTGAGGCCAGATATTCATACAAGGCAGGTCTTCTCATCCAACATCATTGTTGTTCCTTCTCCTACTGTTCATTGTCATTTCAGAAGTAGAATATTGGTTTTAATAGTCCTTAGAGCAGCAGATAATCCATCATTTGTTCCTGGGTGCTTCGCTGCTGTCCTCTCCGCCCTCCAAAACACCAACAAACATTGGACAAATTTGTATGAAACCTGATTATTCAAATTTATTAACATCGAGATCTTTTTTTTTTTTTTTTTTCCGTTTTCGGCAAAGATGCAGGTATTAGTAGACTGAGTTTGCATGTTTTTTTTTTTTATAATTTTTTTTTTCTTGTTTTTATTAACAAATAGAAAACATACTGTGTACAACGGAGCAAACTCCTAACAGCACTAATGTATACACAAGGTAAAAATGGTCTCCTTATCCAACATTAGCGAGACGGCGGTCCTGTCCGATCCTTCCGCATAATACGAGTTCCATCGTTCATCCACCACCGGGTTTTTCTTTGTCAGGCGGGTTATAAAGGAGGCAGGACGCGTCCCTCTGCCGTACTAATACAGAGTACCTTTTTTTTTAATGAGTACACGCTCTTTCCTGAAATATCTGTTAGAAGGTCCATAATTCTGTACATAATAACAAATGTTATCGTTTTTTTTTTTTTTTTTTTTTTTTTTTTTTTTTTTCTAGAGAGAGAGAGAGAAGGAATCGGTATGTGGCACCTCTTTTCAAAGACTTCATAATTCTGAGTTTTTTTTTTCCCCCCCTCCCCTATCCTTACACTAATATAATTGGGAAAGAAAAATATGTATCCTTCAAAAAATTTCATCCTACAACTCTGAGCAAATATATGAACTCTCTTCTCTTTGTTCCGCAACCTACAAGCCCCCCCAAGTCCTCTAACCTTGTGTGCGTCTCGCTCCAGGCGAGTGTCGCCCGTTGGCTGCAGGCTGGAAGAATGTAAAAATAAAAAGAACTGAAAAAAAAGTAGATGATAACTAAAATCTAAGGAACTGGGCAATGCTGATTTAACTTGGTCCCATCATTGTCCACCTCTTTGTGCTTTAGAGTCAAGTGTTCATATTTCCATTGGCTCCTGTGCGATCACGCTTTACATGAGATGAGATATACATCAAGTTTGTCGGTTTATCGGAAGTGGTCTCTGTCATTTTTCCTTCCCAGCGTCCAGGCTCTCGTGTGCTTTTTGTTTTTTTTTTGTCGCAGGTCCGCACAAAGCAGTCACATCGCAGGGGGAGCCTGGAGCGTAAAGTTCTTGTCGATCACCTCTGGAATTATCCTTACCCCTTTAGCAACATACTTAATAACAATAAAATATAAAGATAAACAGAAAATGGCTTCCTCTTGAATGGAGGGAAAAAAAATCTAAAAAAAAGTGATTAAAAATGATAAAAAATAAGTAGGAATTTTTTCATTTTTTTGTCTTTTTCTTTTCCTTTGTGCCATAGTTAGGGCCGAAGAAGCAAGACCTGAATGGAGGGGGACAGGGATGAGTTGTGCTAAGTCCCAAGCAAGCCTCACAAAGCTTTGCAATTATTTGTTTGTAAGTAGATGATGTTGGGAATGGCGCCTGGAATAGGAGGAGGGGCCTGGCAACCGGTTGGCGGTGCCGGGGGTTCCTGGACGCTTCACTCCCAGTCTGGCCGGCGGGGTTTAGCGGTAGTTATGTTGCATAGTGGTCGAAGCTGCCCAGGTACTCCAGCGCAGCCCTGTAGCACAGCTGATACTGGTCCTGCAGAGAAAGGGGACACTGGTCAGGGCCAAGGAGACAACACAACCATATATATATATATATATATATATACACACACACACACACACACACATATATACACACACACACACACACATATATATACACACGCATACACGCACAAAGTCTTTCAGGACAAAGAGTGAGGGCATTGAATTTTGAATCTTAGGCCTCGTTCACACAGGCGCACTATAAGCATCCTATTCATTTCATTTGGGAAGCACAAACACAATTTAATAACCAATTTTTTGGTAAAATATAAAAGATGATGTTACGCTGAGTAAATAGTTACCTAAACATGTCACGCTTTAAAGGAGAAGTTCACCTTTTAGACCAAAATAATAAATGCTAATTTTTTTTGCAGGTAAAAAAATTTGCATGTATTATTTTTGTCTACAGGAGCCTGTAAGGCATTGCACCAGCGATCAGTAGATCGCTGATGTCATGCAGGTTTCCTGCAGACCTGTCAGTATATCTGCTTGTCGTACGGGATGTATGGAGGTGTATGGAAGTGTACGGGATGTATGGAGGTGTACGGGGTGTATGGAGGTGTACGGGATGTATGGAGGTGTACGGGATGTATGGAGGTGTATGGAGGTGTACGGGATGTATGGAGGTGTATGGGATGTATGGAGGTGTACGGGATGTATGGAGGTGTATGGGATGTATGGAGGTGTACGGGATGTATGAAGGTTTACGGGATGTATGGAGGTGTGCGGGACGTGTGGAGGTGTGCGGGACGTGTGGAGGTGTACGGGACGTATGGAGGTGTACGGGACGTATGGAGGTGTACGGAGGTGTATGGGACGTATGGAGGTGTATGGGGACGTACAGGTGTATGGAGGTGTACAGGTATGGAGGTGTATGGAGGAGGTGTATGGGATGTATGGAGGTGTACGGGATGTATGGAGGTGTACGGGATGTATGGAGGTGTACGGGATGTATGGAGATGTATGGAGGTGTACGGGACGTATGGAGGTGTACGGGACGTATGGAGGTGTATGGGACGTATGGAGGTGTACGGGACGTATGGAGGTGTACGGGATGTATGGAGGTGTACGGGATGTATGGGAGATGTATGGAGGTGTACGGGATGTATGGAGGTGTACGGGATGTATGGAGGTGTACGGGACGTATGGAAGTGTACGGGATGTATGGGATGTATGGAGGTGTACGGGATGTATGGATGTATGGAGATGTACGGGATGTATGGAGATGTACGGGATGTATGGAGATGTACGGGATGTATGCAATGTTGTATTTAAGTTTTGTGCTGCCCTAGGCAACACAAAAATCGGGTGCCCCCCCACGGAGAGAGCCTGACATTGACCAACAACACCACTGCCCACCTTGCACCTGAGAGATCCTTCCACTAACAAACCCCCCCCAACCGAGAGAGAAGATACTCACCTTCAGAGCTCTGGACATCCACGGGAACAAGAGTCGGGCACTCCATAGACCATCAAGCAGCCCGCAACCTCTCTCAGATCCCACCTAGTCCCCATGCAGCATGTGTCCCTTTTTCTATCCCTTCTTCCGGAGGGCGGTGCACCCCTTCCCTGAAAAATGCTGCTCTAAGCAAATGCCTTGTTTGCCTTGTGGCCTCGGGGTGTACAAGGTGTATGTGATGTATTGGATGTACGAGGTGTATGGGATGTATGAGGTGTATGAGATGTATGTTGGGGATGGATGTATGAGGTGTATGAGATGTACGGGATGTGTGGGGGTGTGTATGAGGTGTATAGGATGTATGAGGTGTATGAGATGTACGAGATGTATGGGGGTGTATGAGGTGTATGAGATGTACAGGATGTGTGGGGGTGTATGAGGTGTATAGGATGTATGAGGTGTATGAGATGTACGAGATGTATGGGGGTGTATGAGATGTACGAGATGTATGGGGGTGTATGAGATGTACGAGATGTATGGGGGTGTATGAGGTGTACAGGATATATGGGGTGTACTGGGATGTATGGTGTGTATGGGATGTATGAGATGTACAGGATGTACTAGGTGTATGGGATGTACGAGGTGTATGGGATGTATGAGGTGTATGAGATGTATGGGATGTATGGGGGTGCACAGGATGTATGAGGTGTATGAGATGTACGGGATGTATGGGGGTGTATGAGGTGTATGGGATGTATGAGGTGTGTGGGATGTATGGGATGTATGGGGTGTATGGGATGTATGAGGTGTATGGGATGTATGAGGTGTATGAGATGTATGAGGTGTATGAGATGTACGGGATGTATGGGGGTGTATGAGGTGTACAGGACATATGGGGTGTACTGGGATGTATGGTGTGTATGGGGTGTATGAGATGTACAGGATGTATGGGATGTATGAGATGTACAGGATGTATGGGATGTACAGGATGTATGGGATGTATGGGATGTATGGGATGTACAGGATGTATGGGATGTATGAGATGTACAGGATGTATGGGATGTACAGGATGTATGGGATGTACAGGATGTATGGGATGTATGGGATGAACGGTCCAGCAGATATTCTGACAGGAAGCTTCAATGCACTACCACAGCACTCCACAGCACCATGGTAGTTCGTTCAGAACTACAAGCCCACAGCCGCTATGGCTGTCAGGACCTGCAGTTCATTCATTCACGGAAGTCTGTGAATGAATGATGTGGCCATGTGAGCGCTGTTTTCAAATATGACAGATAATATGGGGAGAAGTATGGTATGGTTATGGGAACATTTTCCACCCTAAACATGTAACATATTCCCAAAGGTGAACTTATCCTTTAAAATTGCGTATGCCCATGGAATGGCACCAAACTATGGTACTTAAAATTCTCCATAGGCGACTCTTTTAAACGCCTTTTACGGGTTACCAATTTGGAGTTAGAGGAGGTCTGGTGTTAGAATTATCCTCTTTATGGAGATATCTGAGGTCTATTAGACCCCATAGCCTCTCCTCTGGCCTCCAATGCAGCTGATCGGACACAGACCTATCTGCTTTCCTGGCCACTAAAGTGACGAGATCCTCGTCGATCCTGTTTTCCGGGGTCACAGAGAGGGAGAAACGACCTCAGTTCCTCTCTCTTGGTGATGTGCAGCCATTACCGCCGGTTGCAATGCTCCCAGGCTCAGCGATCGGAGGGGAGAACCTGGGAAAGGCGGCGGGAACCTCCTTCCGCCCCTCACATAAAAGCGATCGAGTGGCTATTTAGCCACTCGATTCACTTTTGCTTAAAAGAGCATAGCCAGCTTCAAAATTTGCTACCAGGGTGATGCTTCTGGCTGCAGGCATCATCCCAGCATAACCACCGAAAATCAAGGATATCCTTTGGGCAGGCAGAGGTTAAAAACTTGAATGCAACTTTTAATTTTTTTTTACAATTTTTTTCAGCTTTTTTTTTTTCTCATCACATAGAGAAAAAAGTTCCCTATCTGATGTATTTTTCTGATGACAGGTTCTTTTTAACGAGACATCAGGGGTCTAAAATGCCCCTGATGTCCCTCCTGTCCTCCAATAAAATGAATGGACTGGCGTGCAGTTCGTTTCTTCCCCTGCCATGCTGGGAACATTGACACCAGGACCCTGAAGTGATGTTTTTGCACGTTCCCTGAGCTCCCTTCCCCTCTACCCGGCAGTCCATGCTGGTCCTGGGTCTGCGATAGGCTGGTGGAGCTTGCCTATGCACTGAGAGAGTCGGCTGCCCCTGTGTAGGAATAGAACAAGCGCTCTGGATTTCCATACATGACCTCCATGTGAGGGGGATGAACAAGGCGGGACTCACCTCCGTCTGCACCATGGCTGGTCTCTGTGTTCTCAGCGTCTTCACGGTCTGGAACATGTCCACCACCCCCTCGTACCTCATCCGCTCCAGCACGATGCTGAGTGTGATGAAGACTCCGGTCCGGCCCACGCCAGCGCTGTAGAAACACAAATGCCATGAAAAACAATCACACACACATCTCCCCTCTGCGATCAAAATCCAGCCGTGTCTCCACTTTACTGTTAAAGGGGAACTCCAGCCAAAAGCATCTTTTTTAAAGCGGTTGTAAAGGCTGAAGGTTTTCTTTTTTACCTTCATGCATTTCTAGGCATAGAGGCAAAAAAATCCTTCAGTGTGCAGCTCTTCCGTAATACTTACCTGGGGCTGATCCCGATCCAGCGATGTGCGCAAGAGCCGAGACTCTCCCGGGTCTCTCTCCCTCATTGGCTGAGACACAGCAGTGGGAGCCAGGGAGGAGGGAGCGGGGCTGAGCCATACACACACAGAGGTAGCTCAGAAGCATGCAGGCACGAGTGCCCCCAGTGCAAGCGGAAGGGGGGGGTACTCAGCAGGGGGGAGGGGCCAGAAGCACCGACGGGGAGGACTGGGAGAAGAGGAAAAAAACAGAGCAGGTGAGTATAATGTGTTATTTTAAAGAAAAAAAACCCTTTTCTTGCCACTTTTGCACCTATCAGATAAAAGGGTCAATTCACTAAGCGTTAAATAACATCTGAGAAAAATCGGTAAAAAAAACCGCATGCGGTAAATCTATTGCAAATGTGCAATTCACTAAGAATCTGCGGTAAATAACTACTGCGGCAAAAAAGCGGTATTACGATAATTGATGCATTTTCAAGCGGTAATTTATCGCACGGTAGCTGGTTGTTATGGATGGCGGCCGCCGAGTCCTTAACAACGGAGGAGTCACCTGTCGGTGAGTTTTAACAGCTGATTGTAAACAAAGCATACAAATAAAAATTATGAAAATCAAACCAGCATGGGGGTCCCCACCATCCTTACCAGGCCCTTCTAGTCTGGTTTGGATTTTAAGGAAAACCACACGGCAAAATGAAAAAAAAATAGCCCTTAGGTCTGGTATGGATTTGGGGGGAACCCCACGCCAAAATGGAAAAAAAAAAAAAAGGGCATGGGGTCCCCCCAAAATCCATACTAGACTGAAGGGTTTGGTATGGATTGGTGGAGGGGAACCTCCTCGTTTTTTTTTTTTTTCTTTCAATTTTGGCATGGGGTTTCCCTTTAAAATCCATACCAGACCTGGCACGGATTGGGGGGGATCCCCTCGCTGCATCTGAAAAAAATACTGCATATGATACCACAAAAAAAAAAGGGCACGGAGGTCCCCCCAAAGTCCATACTAGACCAAAGGGTTTTGTATGGATTTGTGAAGCGGAACCCCCTCGGTTTTTTTTTTTTTTTTTTCAATTTTGGCACGGGGTTTCCCTTGAAATCCATACCAGACCTGGCATGGATTGGGGGGGGACCCTCTCGCTGGATCTGAAAAAAATACCGCATATGATACCACCAAAATTAAAAAAAAAAAAAAAAAAAAAGGGTATAGAGGTCCCCCCAAAATCCATACTAGACCGAAGGGTTTTGGTATGGATTTGTGTGGAGGGGAACCCCCTCGTTTTTTTTTTTTTTCTTTCAATTTTGGCATGGGGTTTCCCTTAAAATTCATACCAGACCTGGCATCTTTTTTTACTTTCTGTTCCATTTGAGAATCGGACTTATCAGCGTACCGCATGATTGTTTGCAGTATTCATGGACACATTTTTAATTTTGCATCAAATACTGCAGAATCTTTTTTTTTTTTTTTTTTTGGCAATGGACATTTTTTTACCGCATGTGATAATTTATACAAATGATTCACGTGACCGTGTAATCGCATGCACCAAACGTTAGTGAATTGACACCATAGGATGTAAACTGCCAGGTGTTATGGTAGTGTCCCCTATGGGGAGATATCCTCCCATATCCTCTCCTGGTAATATACAAATCAGAGGAAGCAATTTCAGTCCAGGAGAGGAGCTGGCTCAACTGCGCAAGACTGAAGGGGAGGAGCCAGTACACCTGTGCAAGACTGAAGGGGGGGAGCCGGTACACCTGTGCAAGACTGAAGGGGAGGAGTCGGTACACCTGTGCAAGACTGAAGGGAGGAGTCGGTACACCTGTGCAAGACTGAAGGGGGGGAGCCGGTACACCTGTGCAAGACTGAAAGGGAGGAGCCGGTACACCTGTGCAAGACTGAAGGGGGGGGGGGGAGCCGGTACACCTGTGCAAGACTGAAGGGGGGGAGCCGGTGCAAGACTGAAGGTACACCTGTGCAAGACTGAAGGGGGGGAGCCGGTACACCTGTGCAAGACTGACCTGCAAGGGGGGGAGCCGGTACACCTGTGCAAGACTGAAGGGGAGGAGCCGGTACACCTGTGCAAGACTGAAGGGGGGGGAGCCGGTACACCTGTGCAAGACTGAAGGGGGAGGAGCCGGTACTCCTGTGCAAGACTGAAAGGGAGGATCTGGTACACCTGTGCAAGACTGGAGGGGAGGAGCCGGTACACCTGTGCAAGACTGAAGAGGGGAGCCGGTACACCTGTGGACTGGAGGGGAGGAGCCGGTACAACTGTGCAAGACTGAAGAGGGGGAGCCGGTACACCTGTGCAAGACTGAAGGGGAGGAGCCGGTACACCTGTGCAAGACTGGAGGGGAGGACCTGGTACACCTGTGCAAGACTGAAGGGGAGGGGTACACCTGTGCAAGACTGAAGGGGAGGAACCGGTACACCTGTGCAAGACTGAAGGGGAGGAGCCGATGCACCTGTGCAAGACTGAAGGGGAGGAACCGGTACACCTGTGCAAGACTGAAGAGGAGGAGCCGGTACACCTGTGCAAGACTGAAGGGGAGGAGCCGGTACACCTGTGCAAGACTGAAGGGGGGGGAGCCGGTACACCTGTGCAAGACTGAAGGGGAGGAGCAGGTACACCTGTGCAAGACTGGAGGGGAGGAGCAGGTGCACCTGTGCAAGACTGAAGGGGAGGAGCCGGTACACCTGTGCAAGACTGAAAGGAGGGGTACACCTGTGCAAGCAGCCGTATGCACCTGTGCAAGACTGAAGGGGAGGATCCGGTACTCCTGTGCAAGACTGAAGAGGGGAGCCGGTACACCTGTGCAAGACTGAAGGGGAGGAGCGGTACACCTGTGCAAGACTGAAGGGGGGAGCCGGTACACCTGTGCAAGACTGGAGGGGAGGAGCAGGTGCACCTGTGCAAGATGAGGGGAGGAGCCGGTACACCTGTGCAAGACTGAAGGGGAGGAGCCGGTACACCTGTGCAAGACTGAAGGAGAGGAGCCGGTACACCTGTGCAAGACTGAAGGGGAGGAGCCGGTACACCTGTGCAAGACTGAAGGAGAAGGCCGGAGGCCAGATTTAAAATTGAACTCTGGGCAGATATAAAAGACAAATAAATGCAGCTCTATATTTATTAATAAATCATTACATGTGTACATTAAGCTCAGATACAGCCCATGACAGCTGTCTGAGGGGATTTCTCTCGCATTTGGTAAGATATCCTTCCACTTCCGGTTGAAACTACAGGACAGGAAGTGAAGGGAAGTCTCCCAAATGAGGCACACATGTCCCCAGCTGTAGGATAAGGCGGAGGGCTCTGATGACAATGATGTACTGTCCGCTCTTTGCTGTCCCCTCTCTTGTTCCATGGACATGAGTGTGTTGAGAGGAGTGGACTGCGTTCCTCACCTGCAGTGAACAGTGATGGGTCCGTCTTGTCCGAACTGTTCTTTCGTTTTGTGCACTTGTCCGATGAAGTCGATGAAGCCCTCTCCTGTTTTTGGCACTCCCTGCTCGGGCCAGTCTGTGAACTGGAACTGTCTGATTGTCCGAGACTGTCCGTCCTGTGGAGGAAAGAGACCATCAGATCTGGGAGGAGCAAAGCAAGGTTAACTAATAAGATCAGTTCATTGTCAGCGACCAGTTAGAATTCCTGAAGTCAGAACCTTTCTGATTGGTTGCCCTGGGGCTATCATGCTTTGCCAGTGGAGGATAAGCAGAGGGGCAGGATGGTTGTCTGAGCGGGGTCCTAGACTCCGGGAGGAGACCCACTGGGAGCAGGAGTGTATTTACCACAAGGCAAACGAGGCATTTGTCTAGGGCGGCATTTTTCAGGGGCACAGCAGCTTTTTTTTCAGGGGGGCAGTACCATCCCCTGAAAGAAGGAATGGAAGAAGGGACACGAAACACGGGGATCTGAGAGAGGCTGTGGGCTGTTAATGCTGTATGCAGAGCCTGACTCTTGTTCCAGGGGATGTCCGGAGCTGTGAAGGTGAGGGTCATATCTCTTGCCAGAGTGGGGGGGCATTTTCCAGTGTATGGGGGTGATGGTAGTAAAAGACTCTCGGGTGCGGATTGGGGTCCTGGGGTGTTGTCAGTCAATGTCAGGCTCTCTTCGTGGGGGAAAGGGGTGTCGGTTGGTGTCAGGGTCTCTCTTGGGGGGGGTGAGCCAATTTTTGTGTTGCCTAGGGCAGCACGAAACCTAAATACACCACTGACTGGGAGGACAAAAGTGCCTTAATGCTGTTTCTTTTTTTTTTTTTTTTTTTTTTTTTTAGCAGGTAAAGTGTATAAGTAACTTTTGCTGCTTTCAACCTCAGTACCCCTGCCTGGAGTTTGCATGTTCTCTATGTGCCTGCGTGGGTTTCCTCCGGGTACTCCGGCCATGCTGGCAGGTTAATTGGCTCCTGTCTAATTTGGCCCTAGAGGCGTATTTAATGCGTTCTACGGGACTTTTTGTATTGCAAAAAAATTAATAAACCGAAATGCGGTTTCCCTTAGGAATGCATTGAAATCCAATTAATCCGTTCCGGAGGTCAGAAAAAAGTCCAAAAAAAGTCTTTTATCTGTTCAAAACTCTTTATAAAGTGCACTTTAAAGGCATAAATACTGTCCAGGGACATGATTAAAAAAAATTCATTAAATGCATTGAAAACCAATTAATCCGTTCGTATTGCGAAAAAAAAAATGTGTAAACCGAGCCGTTATTTTCAATGGATTTTCATTTGTAAACTGAAAATTTCGTTAACCGAGGTGTTCGTAAACCGAGGTACGCCTGTATATGTATGAATGTGAGATAGATTGTAAGCTCCTCGAGGGCAGGGACTGATGTGAATGTGCAATATAGGATATATGTAAAGTGTTCTGGACTGGTAAGCTTTGACAAGACATTGTCCTTCTTAGGTGTGGATACACTTTTACCATTTCAATACCGGGCAATTTTCCCCCTTCCTGCCCAGGCCATTTTTCAGGTTTCAGCGCTCTCACACTTTGAATGACAATTGCGCGGTCATACAACATTGTACCCAAACTAAAATTTTATCATTTTCTTCACACAACTAGAGCTTTCTTTTGGTGGTATTTAATCACCGCCAGGGTTTTTATTTTTTGCTAAATTAACAAAAAAGACCGAAAATTTTGAAAAAAAAACACGTTTTTCTTTGTTTCTGTTATAAAAGTTTGCAAATAAATAATTCATAAATTTAGGCCGAGATGTATTCTGCTCCATGTCTTTGGTGAAAATAACCCAAATTAGGATGTATTATTTAGTTTGTAGGAAAGTTATAGAGTTCACAAACTATGGTATAGATCTGAATATTGATCAATCCTGAAGTACTGACAGCCAATCTAATTTCTTGAGGTCCAAGAATGTCAGAACAGTACAGATATCCCCCAAATGTCAGGACAGTACAGATATCCCCCAAATGTCAGAACAGTACAGATATCCCCCAAATGTCAGGACAGTACAGATATCCCCCAAATGTCAGGAGAGTATAGATATCCCCCAAATGTCAGGAGAGTACAGATATCCCCCAAATGTCAGGACAGTACAGATATCCCCCAAATGTCAGAACGGTACAGATATCCCCCAAATGTCAGGACGGTACAGATATCCCCCAAATGTCAGGACAGTACAGATATCCCCCAAATGTCAGAACGGTACAGATATCCCCCAAATGTCAGGACAGTACAGATATCCCCCAAATGCCAGGACGGTACAGATATCCCCCAAATGTCAGGACAGTACAGATATCCCCCAAATGTCAGGACAGTACAGATATCCCCCAAATGTCAGAACAGTACAGATATCCCCCAAATGTCAGAACAGTACAGATATCCCCCAAATGTCAGGACAGGACAGATATCCCCCAAATGTCAGAACGGTACAGATATCCCCAAATGTCAGAACAGTACAGATATCCCCCAAATGCCAGGACGGTACAGATATCCCCCAAATGTCAGGACAGTACAGATATCCCCCAAATGTCAGGACAGTACAGATATCCCCCAAATGTCAGAACAGTACAGATATCCCCCAAATGTCAGAACAGTACAGATATCCCCCAAATGTCAGGACAGGACAGATATCCCCCAAATGTCAGGACAGGACAGATATCCCCAAATGTCAGAACAGTACAGATATCCCCCAAATGTCAGGACAGTACAGATATCCCCCAAATGTCAGGACGGTACAGATATCCCCCAAATGTCAGGACGGTACAGATATCCCCCAAATGTCAGGACAGTACAGATATCCCCCAAATGTCAGGACAGTACAGATATCCCCCAAATGTCAGGACGGTACAGATATCCCCCAAATGTCAGGACAGTACAGATATCCCCCAAATGTCAGAACAGTACAGATATCCCCCAAATGTCAGAACAGTACAGATATCCCCCAAATGTCAGGACAGTACAGATATCCCCCAAATGTCAGGACGGTACAGATATCCCCCAAATGACCCCTTTTTGCAGAGTAGACAGTCCAACGTACTTCATAAGAGGCATGGCGAGTTTTTTGAAGTTGTATTTTTTTGTCATAATTTTTCGGAAAATGAAAAAATTAAAAAAATTATTTTCAGTATTTTATTTTTACATACTGTCACCAGTGCAGTACAGCGTCATCATATAACTGGCATGGCGGTGATCAGGGACACTGACTGGTGACAGTATGAAAAACAATATATATATATATATATATATATATATATATATATAATTGTTTTTTAATTTTTTTAATTTATTTTATTATTTTTAATTTTTTATTTAATTTTGTTTCTTTTTTTTATGATTTTTCTTTTCATATTTCACTATGACCAAAGTAGTACAATGTTACCATAGTAACATTATACTACTTTGTGGAAGTGATCAGTATTTTTTTTTTTTTTTTTTACACAATTTGCTTATAGCAAAGAATTACTTTGCTATAAGGAAGCATTTACCTGAATGACATCGATTCATTCAGGGCTTTTTTTTTTTTTTTTTTTGTTCTTAGCTGTGATTTGGCCACGGCAAATCACATGACACAGCTGGCCTGTGATTAGCCCAGCTTGTGCATGTGATCGCTGTGACCAATCACAGCTACACACACTAGTATACAATGGATGGCATGAATGAAGCCATCCATTGTATACAACTGTCATGTGACCTGCTGTGATTGGTCACAGCAAGTCACATGGTATCGGCAACGGGGCCGGTACTCAGATCCGTCATCGGCTGTGTCTGAGGTACACAGCCGGTGACAGATCGCGCCGCTGCGTGGCTCTGCAGGCGCGCAAACTGCTCATGCCCGGGAGAACGCCATATGGCGTCCACCCAGAACGCTAATGGATTTTGCCGGCCGCCATCAGGCCATTGGCTGGGCGGCTAATGGTAATGAACCTAATAGAAATGGTTGGTAATCACACGATCAGATTTGGGTCGCTGTTGGCTGTCCAACAGTTAAAGGATTACTAGTCCTGGCATATCATGGGTACCTCAGCCCAGACATCCTGGGGCCTGTAGTTCACCAGCAGATGCCAGGGCAAGTGTCAGGAACAATCACTCCTACTCACCCGTGCGTCCGTCACTTTGAATTCACGCAGGATGTACTGAGGCATGTTATATTCCGCCATTGGGTCCACCACGAAATACTGATACCTCGCTGAGCGCTCGGCGGGCCAATACTGATGGCACTTTTCCTGTAGAGGGGAACACACACCCGGTCAATGCTGAAAGATTCCTTCCGGTTCCATGAATTACCAAGAAACAAATTTATTATTCATTCATTCAGAAAAAAAAAAAAGAACTCAGACAACTGATCATATTTATCTGATAACAAAGACATGATTGTCCCTCAGAAATCAGACCGTCACAATGCCGCACGATTCCTGCGAGGTAAACATCATTATCGGCGTATTGTTATCACATCCCGATGATTATAACGTTGTGCCGGCAATCAGAGGCGTGAAAAACAAAAAAAAACGATCGTTGGTGGTCTGAACTAATCCCCAGAGCCAGCTGATGAAAGCACCCGCACCCGCACCCGCACCATGGCTTCTTAAAGTGTGCCTACCGCTGACTGCATATGGTAAAATCTCCAGGTCTCCACATCTCTTTCTGATATTTCTTTTTAACTGCCTGAACATCTGCTTTAAAAGTGCTAATAAGGTGGAACCCCCCTCCTCCATTCCAACCTCAGGTCACCCCAATTCCTGCAACTTCACGCCTCAGTTCGACCCCAATTTCTGCTGCAGATGTTGGTTCCATTAGGAGATGGAAGGTGGGCAGGTTTCTTCATCTAATGATGTCTATAGTGGCCGGTGGACTGGGAGGAAGTCCAGAAACTGAATTCCAGTAAGATGGGCCTCTCTGAAATGGCATGGAACTAGGCAGGCCGTACGCACAGAGGGTCAGGCTTGGCATTGTAGCTGACAGCCTAGTTACATAGTTAGTCTGGCTGATAAAAGACAAAAGTCCATCCAGTTCAACCATAGAAAAAAAAAAAGTTATAATCCTACACCCACAGTTGATCCAGAGGAAGGCAAAAAAAACCCAGCAAAGCATGATCCCATTTGCTCCTGCAGGGGAAAAAAAATTCCTTCCTGATCCCCGGAGAGGCAATCGGATATTCCCTGTATCAACTTTACCTATAAATGTTATATCCAGTTATATTCTGTGTATCCAAGAAAGAATCCAGGACTTTCCTACAGCAATCCACTGAGCTGTCAATTACAGGAGCCCTGAATTTGTAATGAGCAGGGGCCCAGCGTAGGATCCTCCCGTCCTCCAGAAGGGAAGTCCAACCCTGCGCACATGTCATTATAAAGATGCTTTCACGCTTTCCATCGATTATTTTCCTGAATAGACTGCTTGGGAAGATCCATTTCAGACCATCGATACCTTCTTGACCGAGAAGTTCCAGCATTTCCATATAATTGTCTTCCAATCTGATCGTTACCAGCTATACAGTGCAGGGATCACCATCTGTATATGATGGCCTTTCAGGTAAACCAAGAGCTGCCTCCAATCATATGGATAGGTACACTTTAACAATGATAACCCCGCTGGTTGCTCTTACCCGACCCATTTCCCGCAGCTTGGTCAGCATCACCACAATGGTGGAATTATGCTCCCATAGCATGCGCCAGAAGTCCTCAGTGGTCTCCGCCAGGGGTCCCTGAGTGGCGATGTAGCCTTTCTGCTGCCTGCAAAACAGGAATGAAGCATGAGGACAGAAGAAGTGGATGAGGATCACATTAAGCATGACAACGTCTCTCATGGGTTGTGTAATACACAGTATCTGCCTAGGTGGTGCAGGTTTTGTAACATGTCTGCCTACGCGACTCTTTGAAGAATTTGGAATTTTGAGATGAACATTTGACTAACGGAAGCCACTCATGTATCAATGTGATCATTTATTCAATCATTAAAGACAACAGAACTAACCGAATCAAGTTAAAATTGCAAACCAGGGACCCTCTTACACATCTCTGCTCTGCATGTGCAAGATCTGACACTGCAACATCGGAGGGAGGGTGGCTGCAAGCACTAGGAAAAGGCAGCCAATTCCATCGACCAACAAAACAAATATGGCGGCACTGGACAGAACTTATGATGGAAAAGCAGTAGGTGAGAAGAGGACATTGCAGGAATCATTGGCCTTGTAAGCATGTTTATGCAGCATAACATCGCACCTAAGGTCATGGACAAAAGCAGAATGATGTTTTTGGGGAAGGTGCAAGGTCCGCTTTAAGAAAGATTGTTCACAGGAAAGAAAGATCACTTGTAGTAAAATGTTGCTGAAAACATTGATTTGTAGGGCTTGAATTTTTCGTCAGACAATTGGTCTGCATTTTATGTTCTTTTTTACACTCTCAACTAATCATACACAATACAAATGTGCTTTTCCTTTCATGTAGTACTGTCAGAATCCTGCATGTTGCTTCAAAATGGACCTTCACCAGCCTCACCCACATCATTTTTTTTTGAGGAACATCTCCTAGCACTTGCCTAGGCAAGAAGGATGTCTCACTCAGTACTCTACAGCTTGTGCATTAATGTGCATCACTAGGGTGCTGCCTGCAAGAACCGGAAGACATAGCGGCCCCTCATGGCGGTGTGGAACCCGGCGTGTGGTTGTCGATCACAACAGGACCAGGCTAAATTAATTGGACACCGAGCATGTATTTTGAGGAGTCTAGGTAAGAAGTGATTAAAAAGTCCATGGGGGGATAGGGGGCTGTGTACACACACTATACATCTTCTCTAGCCCTTAGTCAATGCTGTACTTACCTCTGAACCAGGGGCGGACTGACAACTCATGGGGCCCCTGCGCAATAGGGGATCATGGGGCCCCTGTGTCCTTGCCTAAACTCAAAAAAGCCTATGAAAAAGGTACCCGGGGCATCTCATGGGGCCCCCTACTGACCCCGGGCCCTCGGGCAGTGCCCGAGTTTCCAAATGGTCAGTCCGCCCCTGCTCTGAACTTTGTAGTGGTCTGGGAATTTGAAATCCCTGTTGTTCTCCTTTTTCTTTCTGCAGGGTTATCATGACAAATCAGAGCGATGCTCTGTTTTGGCACGAACCAATCAGAATCAGTTGGCTCTGAGGAAGAGGCTGAGTCCTCGAAACGCATCAGCCAGTTGGTCATCCAGGGTTCCATCGTTATGGACTCAGATGCTATATGGATTGAACACCTTTGTAATATGCCTATGTTTTATATATCCATTGTGTGTATGATACCTACTTTTTTATCATTTCAATATATATTTTTACAATAATGCAGTAGGCCGGTGCGCCCCCCTTTAGTTTTTTCATTTGTATTCGCTCTGATCCACCCTGGAAGCAGAGCAGAAATAAGAGGGGCGACAGTGGGGATTTCAAAGCCCTGAACTGCTGCACTGGCTGCGTGGGCATCAACGGCTCATGAGGTAAGTACAGCGGGGGAAGGTGTAGGGTGTAGTTGACCTTTTAATTTCTTTCTGAAAAGGTGAACTTACACTTTAATTACATCTGTCATTAAAGATATATGTGTGTAATGGCCTTTCAAAAATGTTAGTTGCACTCATAACGTTGGATTTTTTTTCATGTTTTCTGCTTGTTCTGGGTCAGTGACTAAGAAACAACTAAAGCCAATGCATCATGGCAGCCAAAGAACCAGCATTTTCAGGAATCCGTCACCAACTGCAACCACCATAATTCTTTAATTCTGTCTTAACACATTTTCTGTCAAGAACAGCTGAGGGGCCCATTCAGTACTGAAGCTGTATAACTGTTCCTTCCTACTTCCAGGAACAAGTACACTGTGACAACCCCCCAGAACCTCCTCTGGAAGCTGGTGCTAGTCCTCAGTATTAGATAGAAGCCCCAGCTCTGGCAGAAAACGGCTGTTCTGACAGGTTCTCTTTATTCACAAAATGCATAACCTCTTTCCTAGCAGGACATTACCTATAGCCATCAATGAAGCTGGCGTTGATGTAGTCAGAGCCCTCGACACCACGAATTGGCTGCAGACACACACGGCTCGATTCGTAGGGCATGATATTCACCAGCCGGTTCTTGAACTTGTTGCATGGTAGGTTGGCACTGATGAACCGTGAGGTGTGGGCTTTGGAGTTGGCCAATAGCTACACAGAAAAAAAAAACTAAGTAAACAAGATAGATAAAGATGAAAAAGCAAGCAGAGTTCTTGAATGTGAACACCAGCATAGGCTGAACCTTGAGATACATTCCATTTAAATCGCCATGATCCATCTGGTGTCTGGAAGATGTCAATGAAGAGAGACTCCCCACCCATGCATCTGACCAGCAGAATGATTGTAACCCAACACAGAAGTGTCCTCCTCTACCATCAATGTGAGAACTGCCATGGATATATAGTGAGAGGTGTTTGGTAGATACGGGGACCTACCTTGAACTCGAGCTCCATGGTGGTGACACTCTCTCCCACGGGGACCTGAGACAGTTTCTGAATATGTGCATACAGGCTGCGCGCCGGCACTTCTGTGTTCCCGCACATGACCGCCTCTAGCAGGGCCTCGTGGATGAAGACGTATTGGTCCTCGGTCTGTACCATGTAGTTCCGCTGAGAACGCATACAGGTCACCTGGCCATAGATATCTACCGTCTTCTCCAGCTTCACTCGCTCCAGCATGGCGTCAATCACAATGAAGCACCCTGTTCTTCCCACACCCGCGCTGTGCGAAAAATAAAAAGGGGGAAGGTTATCGGATTATGTGAGAGCCAAATATGTCCTAAGGCCTCATTTATACAGGAGACTCAAATACATTCAGTTCAATGTTTAGGCTGATTTAACTGAGATCATATAAGTTCACATCAGGAGCGGACTGACCATTTGGAAACTCGGGCACTGCCCGAGGTCAGTAGGGAGTGGAGAGTTTATAGAGTGCATCTGCCTCGGGGACCTTCATCTTGGAGATAACAGCAGGTGTACTACAAGACTGGACCATGCACTGGGCAGCACTTCCAAGAGTGGGAAGCAGACTCTATTGTAGAGAGAAAACGGATCAAGAAGGCGCTTCTAAGTGCAGTATATTCAGTAACTTTTTAATTAAAGTTACTGGATATACTGCACTTAGAAGCGCCTTCTTGCTCCATTTTCTCTACCAAAGACCATGTGACCTATACCCTATGGATTTCAGTTCCAGGGGCACTGTACTGTCAGCTCACTACAGGGAATTAGAAGCTCACTGGATTTCTGGCAGGTCAACAGGTATTTTTCTGTACTTGCGGGATTTGTACTGAAAAAAAGAAACCTGGTGCAATGTGCATGTGTTGCAGAGATGTACCATACAGGATATGTTTTTCTTTTTTCTGCCCAGACATACACTGTAATGTTTCACTGATTGCCTGTATAGCTGACACAATGGTAAATCTAATCTACAATGCTGTCCTCTGGAGTGCTACTTCGTCCCTTTATGATGAGGAAGTCACCCTCCATTGCCACATGTTACCCTTTGGGGCACCTGCTGCCCCTGAGTGCCTCCTCCTGTACCCAGTCCTCCAAGGGATCTCTGGCTGACAGTCACCCCGGTCTCCTCTTACCTGCAGTGTACCACCATAGGCCCAGCATCTGGTGGGTTACAAGCCTTCACTCTGCGAAGGAAGGCCAGGATCGGCGTGGGGTACTCGGGAACCCCATGGTCTGGCCAGGCCATGAACTGGAACTGTCTGATTTCTCGTTTTTCACTGGAGCCGTTCTGGAACACAGATAGAAAGGTAATACAATACAACGTGCACTCCAACACTCCATAAATGTTCCTGCCATCTCTGATCCATTTTAGGGCCCTTTTCACACGTGGGGACTGGTTGTCTGTTTTCCACCCATCCGTTAATGGATGGAAAATGGACATCAATGCATCTCTATGGAGAAAGGGATGATTGCCCGTTTACATCCGTATCCATTAACATCTGTTTTTTGGAACAGATTGAAGCCCTTTTTTTGTTCCGCGAAAAAAACGGAACAGCCAAAAAACTATGTGAACGGACAAATGGTCTGTTTTTTGCATTGGCAGTGGATGGAAAAAACTGATGGAAAAACTGATGGTAAACGAATGAATACCTGATGTAAACTTTTATCCCGGCCTTTCGTAGCATGTTAAACCCTAAATATAGGTGTAACATGTTCCGAAATGTGAACTTATCCTTTAAACAGTTCCCATCTTAAAAGGCTCTGTTCATAAAGGTGCATAAACAGCTCGCTCTCTAGAAGTGTGAGGGTTGAATACCTACTCCCCCGACGCAAACCAGGGTTCTTCCCACGAGCTTGTGCATCCTGTAGTGATGTACGGAGGTGGTATCAAAACGTTTCGAGACTAGTTTTGTATCACGCCAACAGATGGCAGCACAAGGCTGCACGCAGTCGCAGGGAGCACCGACCTTCATTAATCAGTGTGCCATAAGACATTGTCCTGTGTACATAGGGAGCTGTGCAACTGGTGCTATTCTGACCACGTGCATTGTCAGGTCTGTTGTTTCATCATGGGCAGCAAGTTAGAGCAAAGCAAATGTGAAATTCTGTGTGAAACTGGACAAATCGCTGGATCTCCGCCATGTTGTCAAAATGGCGACCTTTGAGCTGAATCTTCATCTTTGGGAAGATGGCATTTTCAGTGGCTGAGCTTGGTGAAGGTCTTCCTGATCTCTTCCAGATGTTCTTCAGTTCTTGAAATGCGTGTGCCACTCAAAACACCTTGAAAGACTCAGTACAGCATCGCCGTAAACTTTCCAAATCATATAAACGTCTCTGTGGCAGGTTTGCCCAGTTTCACTCAGAATATCACGGGACCTTTTCTACTCTCAAAAGTCACAGTCTAGCCCTCCTAAAGACTGAAGGACAGTAAACTGGCCCTTTGTCTGGAACGTTTAGAGACCCTTGGCCTATGCGTTCGGAAGAAGTTGTCTTCCTCCCCGTAGTCTTCTTTGACAGGTGACAAAAGACTACGGGACCATTCAGGAAATGCAGAGCTCCTCGTCCACACTGAAGATGAGTCGTTCAAGGAGTTTTGAGTGGCCCCTGCACTTCAAGAGCGGAAGAACATCACTGGAAGACTACAAGAGATCAGGAAGACCTTCAACCAGTTCAACCCCCAAAAATGCCTTCTTCCCAAAGATGAAGATGGAGATTCAGCTCAAAGGTCACCATTTTAACAGCATTGTGGAGATCCAGCGATTTACCCGATTTCACGTTTGCTCTTTGTTCTAACTTGCTGTCCATGATGAACTAGCAGACGTGGTAACGCACGTGGTCAGAATAGCACCAGCGGTACAGCTCCCGATGTACACAGGACTATGTTTTTTGGCACACTGACTTATAAAGGTCTGTGCTCCCTGTGATTGTGTGTGCAGCCTTATGCTGCTATCTGTTCGCATGTTACAAAAAACTTGTCTTGAAACTTTTCGATACCACCTCGTATGAGCTGGCTGGAGGAAATATATCATCTGGTGGGGACGGGAGAAGAGCTTCACAAATCTGGAGGTGTCAGATACCTGCAGTGGCCCGGAAACAGGAAAGTGATGGAGTGTGAAGATATAGGCCATCGGAAGGGTAAGCATAGACTGTCTTCTTTTAAATGGTGGGGTTACGTTACAAGTGGCCCTGTGGTGACACCAATCTAAACTCACAATCAAACATTGTAATATATTGCAGCTTACGGTCTTTAGATATGGTGGCTGCATTTTTTTTCTTTCAGAGTCTTCCCCATTAATGTCACCTGGTGATCCTGCCAGTAACACACTTCCTGTCCTAGGGTGACAACCCTCTCTGTACTGTATATACGAAGGAACATTGTCATCACCCTAGGTTGCTCTCCTGACTTGGACCCCAAAGACCTCCTTCTCTCCTTATCTTGATTACACAGGAAGGAGGTGTTCTGTAGCTCACAGAACTTAGTTGGGAAAGCATCAGGAGGCAGTGTGCGATCGGTGCAACTGAGCGCTACATCTGCGCATGTGCTGGATTTCTGCACACAGATGCCAGAAACTGCCTTATTTATGTGCATGAACAGAAATCCCCACACGTGTGCAGATGCACCGTAGGGCCCCACCATATCCAAAAATACCCGTCAGAGACAAGCAGCGCATCTGCGAAGATGCTGGATTTTTGAAGATGGCGGCACAGGGAGGGGATTGATGTGGTGGTGATGTTCCGCTTAAGGTAAGCACATATCTGCTAATTTATGATCATCATAGAAATATCTTCAGCCCCAGAACTATCCTGTGATTCTTCCCCAAGAGAAACACTATAAAAGTTTTGTGTCAGTCTCGGAAGGTCTGTCGGGAGGAGTTGGACAGCGGCTTCCATAACCAGCAATGACATTATCGAGACGCGGCGCACTAAACTCACTCACCGTCTCCCCGCAAATAGGTATCCAAAAGTTTCGCTCGGCACCGCTATCTGCATTCATTGTTCCTCTCATTAAGCTCAGCGCACCGTAAAATTATATTATAATTGAAAATTAAATTAAAACATTACACTCTTAATTTGCTTGTCTGGCTTCTCCCGTAATGTGCTGTCTTATCGCGGTCGGGGGAGGGTGCGCAGTGGGTGGAGGAGGAAGGGGAGATATCATCTCTTGTGGGGTCACCCATGCAGGAGGAGGGAAGTTAATGGTTAGAATAACGCTCCCTTCGTCTCACCTTGTAGAGGGCGAACGTCCTCACTGTGTACGTGGCCAATTCGACCGTGTCCAGCAGGGTGACTTGTATCATTCCGTACGTCTCGGAGCCGCGGCTGGGCCAGTACTGGTCGCATTTCACCTGCGAATCAGACACAAACACCATTATATTTTAGTAAACGGCAAAGAGATCGTTGATTATACGGTCTGCTGGAGAGCTATTTGCTGGGTCTCATCCTATGAAGTATATATCCAGCCGCCCACATTCTTCTTCACAATCGTTTTATAAACACAAGTTTCTGTGTGCAGAAAATGGTACATTTGCAACATCCATCAGAAAACAATCAAATTATTAGTAAAGCCCAACTGAACTTTCAGCTTAAATCAACTACATACACTATATTGCCAAAAGTATTGGTCGGCCGGCCTTTCCACGCACATGAACTTTGATGGCCCCCCAGTCTTAGTCCGTAGGGTTCAATATTGAGTTGGCCCCGCCCTTTCCACGCACATGAACTTTGATGGCCCCCCAGTCTTAGTCCGTAGGGTTCAATATTGGGTTGGCCCCGCCCTCTGCAGCTATAACAGCTTCAACTCTTCTGGGAAGGCCGTCCACAAGGTTTAGGAGGGTGTCTATGGGAAGGTTGGACCATTCTTCCAGAAGCACATTTGTCAGGTCAGGCAATGATGTCGGGGGAGGAGGCCTGGCTCACAGTCTCCGCTCTAATTCATCCCAAAGGTGTTCTATGGGGTTGAGGTCAGGACTCTTTGCAGGCCAGTCAAGTTCCTCCACCCCAAACTGGCTCCTCCATGTCTTTATGGACCTTGCTTTGTGCACTGGTGTGCAGTCATGTTGGAACAGGAAGGGGCCATCCCCAAACTCTTCCCACAAAGTTGGGAGCATGAAATTGTCCAAAATGTCACCTTAAGAGTTCCCTTCACTGGAACTAGGGGGCCAAGCCCAACCCTTGAAAAAGAACACCACACTATAACCCCCCTCCACCAAACTTTACACTTGGCACAATGCAGTCAGGTAAGTACTGTTCTCCTAGCAATCGTCAAACCCAGACACGTCCCTTGGATTGCCAGACAGAGAAGCGTGATTGGTCACCCCAGAGAACACGTCTGCACTGCTCTAGAGTCCAGTGGCGGCGTGCTTTACACCACGGCATCCGACGCTTTGCATTGCACTTGGTGATGGAAGGCTTGGATGCAGCTGCTCGGCCATGGAAACCCATTCCATGAAGCTCTCTACACACTGTTGTTGGGCTCATCTGAAGGTCACACCAAGTTTGGAGGTCTTTAGCTATTGACTCTGCAGACAGTTGGTGACTTCTGCGCACTGTGCGTTTCAGCATGCGCTTACCCCGCTCTGTCATGTGACGTGGCCTACCACTTGGTGGCTGAGTGGCTGTTGTTCCCAGTTGCTTCCACTTTGTTATAATCCCACTAACAGTTGAGCGTGGAATATTTAGTAGCCGGGAAATGTCACGGATGGACTTATTGCCCAGGTGGCCACCTATCACAGGACCACGCTTGGAGTCACTGAGCTCCTGAGAGCGACCCATTCTTTCACCAATGTTTGTAGAAGCAGTCTGCATGCCTAGGGGCTTGATTGTATACACCTGTGTCCATGGAGGGGATTGGAACACCTGAATCACATGATTGGGAGGGGATTGGAACACCTGAATCACATGATTGGGAGGGGATTGGAACACCTGAATAACATGATTGGGAGGGTGGGCCCAATACTTTTAGCAATACAGTGTACATTCCAGAACCCAAAATGATAAGGTGTGCAAAGTCTTAGAATTCATTTATTAACAGCCACAGCCTTAGTAGAAAAGCCAGTCCCCTGCCAGGAAAGCATCAGACCACTGCTTCCACGCAGAGAGAAAGGGTCCTTCTCTTCAGCATGCTTGCAGAGAAGGACCCTTGCTCTGTATGCAAGCAGTGGTCTCTTTGCAGGGTCAGTCATGTCCTCCACTGAGTCAGACCCATGGCTCTACAATCAGCATATCCTGTGCTCCCTGCTGATGAGTGAACTCTAGCTCTGACTTAGCAGGGAGTTTGTGTGGAAGCATTGGTCTCTATGCAGAGGTCTGAGAGAGCAGGGGGTCCTTCTCTTCAGCATACTTGCAGAGAAAGACCCTTGCTTACTGTGTAAGCAGTGGTCTCTTTGCAGAGGTCAGACATGCCCTCAACTGTGTAAGACCCAGAGTTCTACAATCAGCATACACCATGATTAGTGAACGCAAGCTCTGACTTAGCAGGGAGGGGAGCTGGCAGACCTCTGGAGAGAGACAAAACAAAGGAACACAACGACTCTAAGTATGTACCTTTGTTTCTTCTTCACACAAAGTCATGCTTTGCTCCATCGCAGCTTGCCCTTCGGGGCCTACTGGACTACCCCTGCCCACTTGGAACTTTTATACTACATACATGGTGTCAGAGCCTGGGATTGACCCTGGGCCTTCTGCGGTGAGAGGCAATGTTTCTTCTCACTGAGCCATCTGGAATGCTGTACAGCTCCCTTGACAATTCTTTGGATGATCCTGCCTTGTCCCTGTTTGTCTTGAACCTGAACTCCTTGTCCTCCCATGAACTTCCTATAAAAGCCATGTCCATGCACTTCCTCCTTGCCAGATTATTGTGCCTTCCCAGCCAATATCCCGCTCATCGTTCCTGCTGCTGTCTACATCTTCGTTACCGACCTTTGGCTTGCTACTGACCACGATTCTGCCTCATCCTATCTACTACCATTGGTGACCGACCCTTGGCTTGTGACTGACTCCGCTTCTGTTTGATCCCTAAACTGTTTGATCCGCTATTGGTTTCCAGCCTACTCATTCCCTGGTGGTGGGGTGATCCTGAGATCTGCGACCTGGCATTCACACGCAGCCAAATCCATCTCCACCATTAGGAGCTCTGGTGAAAACCGGTTAATACTTAGACCCCGCACCTCAGGTGAGCCTGCGTCATTCCCAGGGGGATCTGCTGGTGTACCTATCCTGCTGGTTTCAGGTAAGCCTTACACTGCTGTAGCAACTGGTCTCTGAACCTGACCCAGACCGTGACACATGGACTGTTATACTATGCGCCTGTCATTCTCCTCTCTGGAGAGAGACCACTGCTTCCACGCAGAGAGAAAGGGTCCTTCTCTTCAGCATGCTTGCAGAGAAGGACCTTTGCTCTTTGTGCAAGCAGTGGTCTCTTTGCAGAGGTCAGACATGCCCTCCACTGAGTTAGCCCCATGGCTCTCCAATGAGCATACCCCATGCTTCATGCGAATTAAAGAACTCTAGCTCTGACTTAAAAGGGGGGGTTGTCAGACTCTGCAAAGAGGTAAGGGCCCTTCTCTTCAGCATGTGTGTGGAGAAGGACCCTTGTACTCTGTGTGCAAGCAGAGGTCTCTTCGCAGAAGTCAGACATGCCCGCCACCTGAGTCAAACCCATAGCTCTAGAATGAGCATATTCCATGATCCCTGCTGATTAGAGAATTCTAGTTCTGACTTAGCAGGGGGTTTGTCAGACCTCTGCAGAGAGACCACTGTTTCCACACAGAGAAGAAGGGGCCTTTTCCGCAGCACATGGGCACTGGATAGGCTTTTCTACTCAGCCTGTTGCTGCCTTCTAAAGGAGATGATGTGTAGGACTTTGAAGCACCTGGAATGTATTTCGGCAAGTTAAGACAACAGTTCACAGTGATGCAATGGACACCATTTAAGTGATGGATGGACTTTGTAAATTACTGGCACACCGCTTGATCAATTGTACTGGACACATTCATTTTTTATTTATGATAAATTTTGTGCAGCGCTGCACCTACAAGGCATTTTCTGATTGGAAGAGGCAGAGAGGGTGGATGACATCCCGATCTACACCTCGTCCAAACACAGAATGCCTTGTCATCGAGGAAAAGTAAATGGTGGCGGTGCAAAGCAAGCAACTCCCTATAGAATTTTCAATTATCATATTTTTCGCTCTATAAGATGCACTCCCCCCCCCCCCCCCCCCCCCCCACACAAAAAAAATGGGGGGAAATGTCTGTGCGTCTTATGGAGCAACTAGTCTGGTATTTCCCCCCCTCTGTCGCCGCCACCGTGCCAGCTGGGCCGGCCGCTCGGCTCTTGTGTGCAGCAGAACCTGCTCCTTGGTCCAGCGGTGTCCTCACCACGGTTGGTTTCACTGTCCGTCTTCTCTTCCTGGCGCCGGCATCTTCAGTGTGGGCACCCGGCTGTGACAGCTTGCGGCTTCACTGCCGGGTGCCCACTGCTCATGTGCCAGAAGCGCTGTGCTTTGTGAATGGCCCCGTCGTCTTCTGGGACCTGTCATGTGTCCCAGAAGACTACAGAGAAAGAGGTGATTGCTGCGGATGTGGGAGCAGGCACCTGTCAAATTCGGGTACCCGCTCCTCAGAGGTCTGCAGTCTCTGGTCATCTCCTGTAGTATGTCTGCAGTCTCTGGTCATCTCCTGTAGTATGTCGGCAGTCTCTGGTCATCTCCTGTACCGTATGTCGGCAGTCTCTGGTCATCTCCTGTACCGTGTCGGCAGTCTCTGGTCATCTCCTGTACCGTGTCGGCAGTCTCTGGTCATCTCCTGTACCGTGTCGGCAGTCTCTGGTCATCTCCTGTACCGTGTCGGCAGTCTCTGGTCACCTCCTGTACCGTGTCGGCAGTCTCTGGTCACCTCCTTTACCGTGTCGGCAGTCTCTGGTCACCTCCTGTACCGTGTCGGCAGTCTCTGGTCACCTCCTGTACCGTGTCGGCAGTCTCTGGTCACCTCCTGTACCGTGTCGGCAGTCTCTGGTCACCTCCTGTACCGTGTCACAGTCTCTGGTCACCTCCTGTACCGTGTCGGCAGTCTCTGGTCATCTCCTGTGCCGTGTCGGCAGTCTCTGGTCATCTCCTGTACCGTGTCGGCAGCCTCTGGTCATCTCCTGTGCCGTGTCGGCAGTCTCTGGTCATCTCCTGCGCCGTGTCGGCAGGCTCTGGTCATCTCCTGTGCCGTGTCGGCAGTCTCTGGTCATCTCCTGCGCCGTGTCGGCAGTCTCTGGTCATCTCCTGTACCGTGTCGGCAGTCTCTGGTCATCTCCTGTGCCGTGTCGGCAGTCTCTGGTCATCTCCTGTACCGTGTCGGCAGTCTCTGGTCACCTCCTGTACCGTGTCGGCAGTCTCTGGTCACCTCCTGTACCGTGTCGGCAGTCTCTGGTCACCTCCTGTACCGTGTCGGCAGTCTCTGGTCACCTCCTGTACCGTGTCGGCAGTCTCTGGTCACCTCCTGTACCGTGTCGGCAGTCTCTGGTCACCTCCTGTACCGTGTCGGCAGTCTCTGGTCACCTCCTTTACCGTGTCGGCAGTCTCTGGTCACCTCCTGTACCGTGTCGGCAGTCTCTGGTCACCTCCTGTACCGTGTCGGCAGTCTCTGGTCACCTCCTGTACCGTGTCGGCAGTCTCTGGTCATCTCCTGTACCGTGTCGGCAGCCTCTGGTCATCTCCTGTGCCGTGTCGGCAGTCTCTGGTCATCTCCTGTGCCGTGTCGGCAGTCTCTGGTCATCTCCTGCGCCGTGTCGGCAGTCTCTGGTCATCTCCTGTGCCGTGTCGGCAGTCTCTGGTCATCTCCTGTGCCGTGTTGGCAGTCTCTGGTCATCTCCTGTGCCGTGTCGGCAGTCTCTGGTCATCTCCTGTACCGTGTCGGCAGTCTCTGGTCATCTCCTGTGCCGTGTCGGCAGTCTCTGGTCATCTCCTGTGCCGTGTCGGCAGTCTCTGGTCATCTCCTGTACCGTGTCGGCAGTCTCTGGTCATCTCCTGTAGTGTGTCGGCAGTCTCTGGTCATCTCCTGTAGTGTGTCTGCAGTCTCTGGTCATCTCCTGTACTGTGTCCGCAGTCTCTGGTCATCTCCTGTACTATGTCTGCAGTCAGATATGTAAAAAGTTTCCTGTCTATTTAAAGACTGAAGTGATTTTCCATGATGAATTATTTCTGTGAAGGGCACAATGGAATCATTGGTATGCAGTTTTTGTCTTGTGTTCCTCAGCCCCGGGGCAAGTAATAAAACCTAATTTGGCACGGAAGCCGTGGCACCGATTAACAATATCATTTGCTGCAATTAACAATCTCTTTTTGTAGATGAGATCTGAGGCCTTGTTTTCTCGGAATCCCAATTCCGTGGGACAACTCACCCTGGATTTCTCCTCAAGACGGGTCATCATCACGATGGTGGAGGCTCTCTGCTCCCACACCAAACGCCAGAAATCGGTGAAGGTTTCGGGCAGCGGACCTTGAGTGGCGATGTAAGCGTTCTGCTTTCCTGTAGCCATCTATATATAGTTGGAATTAATGTAGTCGCTGCCAGGAACACCTAAGAACAACATGTACAATTTAGGGAACAGCAAATCTTGCAGTCTTCACTTCCCCAAAATGTATGCAATGGGGTGACACCAATGTATTGTTTTTTTGTTAAATATTCTTCTTTATTGAGATACATATATATACAGTTGCAAGAAAAAGTATGTGAACCCCTTGGGATTACGTGGAGTTTTGCTTGAATTGGGCATAAAATGTGCTCTGAACGTCATCTAAGTCACAACAATAGAAGAACACAGTCTGCTGAACATAATACTACACAAACATTAGATGTTGCCATGGTTTAATTGCACATAACATGTAAACATTCACAGTGCAGGGAGGAAAAAGTATGTGAGGCCCTAGCTTAATGACTTCTCCCAGAGCTAATGGGAGCCAGGAGTGAGCCAACCTTGACTCCAATCAGTGTGATGATATTGGATGTGTTGCTGACAGCTGTCCTGCCCTTAAAAAACACACACCTGTTTTGGGTTTACTGGTTTCAAGAAGCACTGTCTGATGTGAACCATGCCTCACAGAAAAAGAGCTCTCAGAAGACCTACGATCAAGAATTGTTGACTTGCATGAAGCTGGAAAGGGTTACAAAAGTATCTCCAAAAGCCTTGATGTTCATGTGTCACGGTAAGACAGACTGTCTACAAATGGAGAAAGTTTAGCACTGTTGCTACTCTCCCTAGGCGTGGTCGTCCTGTAAAAATGACTGCAAGAGCACAGCGCAGAATGCTGCATGAGGTAAAGAAGAATCCCAGAGTGTCAGCTAAAGACCTACAGAAATCTCTGGCACATGCTAACATTTTTGTTGACACATCTAGAATAAGGAAAACATTAAACAAGAATGGAGTACATGGGAGGACACCACGGAGGAAGCCATTGCTGTCCAAAACGAATATTGCAGCACGTTTGAAGTTTGCAAAAGAGCACCTGGATGTTCCACAGCACTACTGGCAGAATATACTGTGGACAGATGAAACCAAGATTGAGTTGTTTGGGAAGAACACACAACACTATGTGTGGAGAAAAAAAGGCACAGCACACCACATCAAAACCTCATCCCCACTGTAAAACCTGGTGGAGGGAGAATCATGGTTTGGGGCTGCTTTGCTGCCTCAGGGCCTGGACGGATTGTTGTCATTGATGGGAAAATGAATTCCAGAGTTTATCAAGACATTTTACAGGAAAATGTACGACCATCTGTCCGCCAACTGAAGCTCTGCAGAGGATGGGTGATGCAACAGGACAATGACCCAAAGCATACAAGTAATTCAACAAAACAATGGCTGCAACAGCACAGAATACGCCTTCTGGAGTGGCCCAGTCAGAGTCCTGACCTCAACCCGATTGAAATGCTGTGGCATGACCTTAAGAGAGCGATTCACACCAGACATCCCAAGAATATTGCTACACTGAAACAGTTTTGTGAAGAGGAGTGGTCCAAAATTACTCCAGATCGTTGTGCAGGTCTGATCTGCAACTACAGGAAACGTTTGGTTGAGGTTATTGCTGCCAAAGGAGGGTCAACCAGTTATTAAGTCCAAAGGTTCACATACTTTTTCCTCCCTGCACTGTGAATGTTTTCATGTTATGTGCAATTAAACCATGGCAACATCTAATGTTTGTGTAGTATTATGTTCAGCAGACTGTGTTCTTCTATTGTTGTGACTTAAATGACGTTCAGAGCACATTTTATGCCCAATTCATGCAAAACTCCTCGTAATCCCAAGGGGTTCACATACTTTTTCTTGCAACTGTATATATATATATATATATATATATATATATAATTTATTTATTCTTTACAGATGCTACATTATGTTTTCTATCCCTATAAATGAAAAGCACCTGGATCCTGATGAAGCACCAGAATCTTGTGAAATGCGTTGATCCAGTATCTCATTGTATCATCTGATTATCTCTTTTCAGGATTTGGACCATGTTTAATTCATGCATGTGTTGACACTTTTTATATCCCCCCCCCCCAATCTCCCTTGGTGGAGGATTGCAGTTCTCTTACTTATCTACTATGTATACTTGGGGATGGATGTCCAATAAATAGTCTTTGATGGATACAGTCCTTTTGCCCACATACAGGCGAAAGAAACTTTTATTTACTGTCTATATGCAATGTTTATATCATGTGTGATCACATGACTTTGTTTATGATTTTCTTTGTTGACATAGTAATCAATGGCTTTGTTAACTGCTTGCCCTATAGCAGAAATACTGCTGCAGGGTGGCATGGCTGCACAAAACCACGTGTGTGTATGTGTGTGTGTGTGTGTGTGTGTGTGTGTGTATGTATACACACACACACACACACGTGATTTGCATTTCTGCTATTGGAAGCTTCAGCTGTTGATCACCAGGTCTCGGCCGGTGATTCCCCGCCGGCAACCGGCGATCGCAGAGTATCACTGATGGGGGAAAGGTCTGTATGTAAACAATACAGATCTCTCCCCTGTCAGCTCCAGCACGCTGCTTTGTATGGCTCTGCATTGCAGAGCCATACAAAGCAGCATACTTACACAGTACAACACACACAGAACACAGTTAACCCTTTGATCGCCCTAGATGTTAACTCCTTCCTGCCCAACGCCATTAGTACAGTGTCTGTGCTTTTTATTAGCACTGATCACTGTATTGGTGTTGCTGGGGATGTCAGTGGCAGTTAGTCAGTTCCCCTCCAGTGTCAGAATGCCCGCCGCAGTCCTGCTATAAGTAGCTAATTGCTGCCACTGCTAGTATAAAAAAAAAAAAAAATTACTAGTAGGAAAGAAAAAAAATCCCAGTATATATAACGCCATTTGTAGATATTATAACTTTCACATAAAGCAATTAATTTACAATCAGGATTTTTTTTTTAGCAAAGACACGGAGCAGAATACATTTTGGCCTAAATTTATGATGTAATTGTATTTTTAAATTTTTTTTTTTTAACTGGACATGTTTAATAGCGAAACGTCAAAAATATTGTTTTTTTTTTTTCAAAATTGTTGGTCTTTTTTTGTGTATAGCGCAAAAAATAAAAAACGCAGAGGCGATCAAATACCACCAAAAGAAAGCGCCATTTGTGGGGGGGAAAAAAAGGATGCAAATTTAATTTGGGTGCAGCGTTGCACGGCCGCGCAATTGTCAGTTAAAATAACACTGTGCCGTATCGCAAACAATGGCCTGGTCAGGAAGGGGGAGAAATCCTCTAGAGGGCAAGGGGTTAATAAACGAAATCATGGCATACAGCAATGGTGCCTTAAAGCTAGGAATGCTGCATACAGGGGCAGGCTGACAACTCATGGGGCCCCCGGGCAATAGGGGATCATGGGGCCCCTGTGTCCTTGCCCATACTCAAAAAAGCCTATGAAAAAGGTACCAGGGGCATCTCATGGGGACCCCTACTGACCCCGAGTTTCCAAATGGTCAGTCTGCCCCTGGCTGCATATGCAAACGTTTATTAACAAAGCCATTGGTTACTTTGTCAGCAAGGAGAATAATAAACAAAGCCATGTGATCACACCTGATATAAACATGACATATAGACACTAAATACAAATAAGCATAAGTAAACAAAAATAAGGTAAGTGTTAACTATTTAAAAAAAAATAAAAACGGAGCCTTTAGAACCACTTTATTAAAGTGTTACTAAACCCACAACAGTACAATCAGTCTGTAGATGCAGAAAAGCATGCTTGTTATACTCACTGTGGAACCGAAGGGGTCAATCCCTCTGCATTGTGTAAAATGGCTGTTTGATCCTGTGTTCTCTGACCCTCCCCTTCTTCTACTGTCCCCAATCCATCTGCTGATAGAACAGTGCCTTGGGGGCAAGTTGCACATGCTCAGTTTGGTGTGTATTGCTTGGGAGTTTTTTTTTTTTGGGAGGGTGCATGTGATCAGCACAGGGCCAATCAGCACTGTCCAGACAGAGGGTCAGGGGTTACGCAGCCTCATAGGACAATCGGGAGAATAAAAACTCCTCCTGCAAGTCACACGACGGCTATCTACAACTGATGAGAAAAGGTATTTAGCACTTTATATTTACTACAATAATTGCATTTCTATGTTCTGTGTACTATGGGAAACCAGATATAGTGAATGCGGGGTCCGGGAAGAACGGATATAGTGAATGCGGGGTCCGGGAAGAACGGATATAGTGAATGCGGGGTCCGGGAAGAACGGATATAGTGAATGCGGGGTCCGGGGAGAGCGGATATAGTGAATGCAGGGTCCGGAGAGACCGGATATAGTGAATGCGGGGTCTGGGGAGAGCGAATATAGTGAATGCGGGGTCCGGAGAGACCGGATATAGTGAATGCGGGGTCCGGGGAGAGACCTGATATAGTGAATGCGGGGTCCGGGGAGAGCGGATATAGTGAATGCGGGGTCCGGGGAGAGCGGATATAGTGAATGCGGGGTCCGGGGGAGAGGATATAGTGAATGCGGGGTCCGGGGAGAGCGGATATAGTGAATGCGGGGTCCGGGGAGAGCGGATATAGTGAATGCGGGGTCCGGAGAGAGCGGATATAGTGAATGCGGGGTCCGGGGAGACCGGATATAGTGAATGCGGGGTCCGGGGAGAGCGGATATAGTGAATGCGGGGTCCAGGGAGAGCGGATATAGTGAACGCGTGGTCCAGGGAGAGCGGATGTAATGAACGCATGGTCCAGGGAGAGCTGATATAGTGAATGCAGGGTCCGGGGAGACCGGATGTAGTGAATGCAGGGTCTGGGGAGACCAGATATAGTGAATGCGGGGTCCGGGGAGAACGGATATAGTGAATGCAGGGTCCTGGGTTTAGTAACACTTTAAAAGTGAACCTTTTGTAATTCTAATTCTAATTTTGGTTGCCTGGTAAAAATGGAGGTCGTTTTAGAAGAAATTTGTACAATTACAAAATCACTAATTTTGCCATATACCCAAATTTTCCAAAACCATTCTGCTGCTCCATTTTAAAGGTTAGTTCTAAGGATCTGCATGGGGCCCAGTGAATGTGAAGCTACTTACCATCCACTGAGGTGAGGATGACACGCGAGTGGTCGTAGGCTATAACATTTGCATAACGGTTCTTTGGCTTATTCACCTCCAGATTGGAATGTTCCCAGGTGAACTGCTGACTGGGGTCGATGGACTGAAAGACAAAAAGGAAGTTTCTAATATGTGCCACTGGCTGGAGGGACTTTGGGGGCATGAGGGGCCGTACATGCGTCTCACCTCGTATTCCTGAGAGAATTTGAGCCCATCGTTGGCCTTTAGGCGCTCGATGTTGTCAGCGAGGTCGGTGACCGGGATGGGAGGATGGTCCCTCATACCTGAAAGGAAAGAAGAAAAACATGACCCAACACCCCAACATGCCATCCCCATGAGGCAGACAACGTGGATGGACGGTGCAGCAAGATGGACAGACAGACAAAGCTGTTAACACGTAGCATGCTGCAGAGAGAAGCAGTGGGATGGACCTCAATGTCACCCATTGTTCATGCAGCCCTTGTGGACAGTCCACCCCGTGGTCTGTGATGCTGTGCAGAGATGGTGGAATGGAGGGAGAGGGGACTGAGGAGGGGGGAATCAAAGAGGCCTAAGGCGGCATTTGGAAGGAGGACAGAAAAGCTATAGTTTGAGGAGAAACAAGGGTACAAAAAATTATAACAATTAAAAAAAATAAAAAGTAATGGGAAGTTTGGAGAATCCATAATAAATTTACAATGAAAAGAACATCACGTGGGGTAAACTTCAAGGAGAGAAATTACAAATCAGAATTCAGCAAATATCGTTTTGTGTTTCCTCCTCATGGTAGATATCAGGAGAAATGACAAAAAGGAACCTGTGAAAATGACTGAATAAACCAACAAGCTGACCTGCGGGGGGGACTGATTTATGTCTGAGCCCGCAGAGAACGCCCGCAGCGCACATCAACTTCACTACAACCTGCTCTGGTTTCTCTACACTATTATCCTTCACCAGGGCAAGCTCAAAGACGGAGGAGAGTGGGAGAAATATGAATGACATGGAGCAAACAAGATGAATGGTAGACTGAAAGGGCAATGATTGGGGAGTGGGGGGGGGGGTGGGGGGCAGTGGTCACTTTTTTTCCTAGATGGTTTACAGGAAGTTGTCAAACTAACTTGAGATATTCGGGTAACTGGGGACACTGGAACCTGCAAAGGAGACAAGAGTGGCAGAAGAACAGAATGCAATTAGAGGGGTGGGGATACGGGACAAGGATCTCTCTAATAGTACATAACAGGCATGGCTGCCAACTAGCCAGATACTTAACCCATAACAGAGAAGCGGCAGCTACAAACTACTGGAGCAGCATGAAAGCCAGGCATCTAGCATTTCCAGACTGAAAGGACACCAATGGAAGCCCACATATAACAGACTGAAGGGGCACCAATGGAAACCCATGTATCACAGACTGAAGGGGCACCAATGGAAGCCCATGTATCACAGACTGAAGGGGCACCAATGGAAGCCCATGTATCACAGACTGAAGGGGCAATAATGGAAGCCCATGTATCACAGACTGAAGGGGCACCAATGGAAGCCCATGTATCACACAGACTGAAGGGGCACCAATGGAAGCCCACGTATCATAGACTGAAGGGGCACCAATGGAAGGTCACGTATCACAGACTGAAGGGGCACCAATGGAAGCCCGCATATCCTAGACTGAAGGGGCACCAATGGAAGTCCACATATCATAGACTGAAGGGGCACCAATGAAAGCCAATGTATTACAGACTGAAGGGGCACCAATGGACGCCCAAATATCATAGACTGAAGGGGCACCAATGGAAGCCAATGTATCACAGACTAAAGGGGCACCAATGGAAGCCCAAATATCATAGACTGAAGGGGCACCAATGGAAGCCCACGTATCATAGACTGAAGGGGCACCAATAAAAGCCTACATATCATAGACTGAAGGGGCACCAATGGAAGCCCCTGTATCACTGACTGAAGGGGCACTAATGGAAGCCCACGTATCACAGACTGAAGGGGCCCCATTGGAAACCCACATATCATAGACTGAAGGGACACCAATGGAAGCTCATATATCACAGACTTAAGAGGAACAAACGGAAGCCCACGTATTACAGACTGAAGGGGCACTAATGGAAGCCCACATATCCTAGACTGAAGGCGCACCTGTGGAAGCTCACCTATCACAGACTGAAGGGACACCATGGGCCATGTATCTCATGACTGTTTTTTTTTACGCAAACTTGCCATTACAGCTGTTACCAAATGCAACTGAAGATCCCATCCTGCACTGGGGCTGCTATGGATTGGCTATGCTTGTTCCGTGGCACAGATGACCCTGTTCAGCCCTGATAAGCTCCATTTAAGGGATTATATGAGGCAATGAAGACCATAAATGGCCAGTAACCCATGGCAAGCAAGCAGTTTCCATTTACAGAGTCATAAGTGGATGAAGGACTCTTATTGGTTGCCAGGGGATACTTCAACCTTCTCTTTGTCCTAATGAATAAGCATAATCCTTTCTGCCAAAAAATATTTGACCAAGTCGGTGTCCTAGATTAGAAGTCGCTCTTTTCTCGCCAAGCATGTTGGGAACAAAGATACTGCAACCTTTTGCTTATAGACCTTCTCAATATCATAGACCAAATGGTCTACAGCCTTATGACTAGAGACCTTCCGCTAGGTGCTGCCTGAGTGTATAGGAGATGAAGATGGGAAAAGAACACAAAGGACCAAGGGGCGGGGGGGGGGGGGGGGGGGGGGGGGGGGGATTACAATACCGAGAGCTTTACTAACCTGGAGTCTGGTAGTTGAGGCGCCTCATTTCCACCGGGTCAGAGGAATTGGCCAGCAGGGAGTCTTTCAGTCCAGGCATTTGGTCCTCTTTGCTGGAGGGAGAGTTGGTCCTTTTCCTGTTAATCAGACAAATGCAGGTATCAATATATACCGTGGTACAGATCAAATGTTGGGGCTGAGAATTAATAAAGACAAGGATCATTTACACAGCATACATGGCACAGCATTTCTTACTCTATATTGATTATCATTGATAAAATAAACAGGGCAATAGGAAAGATAGAGGCATGGAGCTGCAACCTACAAAACTAAATAAACATAATTATGAACAAAATTCTGATTCATATTGTGAGGATAATCTAGCATTAAACAACGAACAAATATTCTGCTGCACTGAAACCCTGAACCACCACCGAAAACAGGAACTGGTTGTTATAGTCATCATTCGCTATCTTAAAAGGAACCGTTTGCCATTTTAAAAGACTCACAACAATTTCCTGAGTCATCCAACAGACTACTCCATCCGATGTAAACGAGTAGAGGAAAATACAATTTATGTGGGTTAAATATAAAGTGCAGCGCTAAAAATATATAAAGTTGTCATAAATATCACAATAGGTAAATGTGAGTAAAATAGTCCCAGCAAAGGTGACTTGGAGTAAAAGTGCACACTAACCAGATGTGCACATTAAAAGTGCAATGTAGAGATCATAAGGCTCATGGGGTAATCATCAGAATGGAAATGGTGTTCCCTTGGTCAGAGAAGATCCCCGGGTGGTGCAGAGCTGGGCAGGAAGAAAAACCTCTTGATAACAGGAAACAGAACGAACGTTGATCCACCTCTGGATGCCAGCACATGGAGTAGCATAACCTCTGGGAAAAGGTAGGACCTTGACAAAGGGTCCATGCTCATGTCGCTTCCGGTCCGTGGACAGCGTGCGTTCCAGCGTGTGCTCCAGCAATCCAAACAGAGCGGTGTCCATCTTTAACACCTCTCCTCAAGCTCCCCCTGCAGCTGCTGGCTGGCACAGTGGCTCCATCGCTCAGAGGACAGAGCCCTGCTGCTCACGGATTACATTTGAGCTTGTTTGTATGACTACATTATATGTTTTTTTGCCCAGTGGAGGAGTCGTGTTTCTTCCGGTGGATAAACGTTCGTTCTGTTTCCTGTTATCAAGAGGTTTTTCTTCCTGCCCAGCTCTGCACCACCGGGGGATCTTCTCTGACCAAGGGAACACCATTTCCATTCTGATGATTACCCCATGAGCCTTATGATCTCTACATTGCACTTTTAATGTGCACATCTGGTTAGTGTGCACTTTTACTCCAAGTCACCTTTGCTGGGACTATTTTACTCACATTTACCTATTGTGATATTTATGACAACTTTATATATTTTTAGCGCTGCACTTTATATATAACTTCTTGTGAGGATTTTTTGTTGGTTATCCTGTGTGCCTAGCTGCTCGAATTCTAAAATGCGCTCACTTATTTCTTTATTTTACAATTTATGTGGGACTCCAGTGGTATAGCACACACCAAAAAAATGATAAAAAAAAAAAAGTTCAACTTTATTACAGCATGCTAGAGACATACAAGTTAAAACCATTTAATGGTCAACTGATGTTAACATATATCATTTGGAAATGAAAGTGTAAAGGTTGACACATATTTATGGGAGTCTGGCCAATCCCAGGCAGGAGGCCTGGCAGTGTCACAGACCAGCCCATAAATATGGGAGAGCCTGACCTTCAGGAAATCGAATGGAAGATGTACTGCTGAGTGGTGCTGCTTTGTAGTCTGGGAGAAGACCCTGGAGAAGGGGGAACTTGCTTCCATGCTGGGGGCTGAATAAAGCTGAAAGAGGGAGCTCCATTGCCCTGCAGTCCACTGGAGAAGAACAGCCTGCCAAGCTTGGAGAGGAACCAGCCCAGCCAGAAGGTTTGAAAGCAGTTCTATCCATAGCTGCAGGACAACAGTGTCAGCACCTCTACACCCCCAGGGCCTAGAAGGGAAAAGTCTGCTATATGCAACTTCAGGCAAGTATTCAGGGGACAGTTTATAGCTTACCCAACCCCTTGTCCTGGGATCAGATACCATAGCCAGGTAGGCTGCTATTTTGTACACTTAGGGGACTTAGAGCTCCTACAAGTTGGGACTTTGCTAAAATCCATTCAAGGGGACTCAGAGCATCTGTAACTTGCTGTACTTGGCTACAAAAAAACTTTCAGGATTCTGGCTGGACCACAGTCATTCATCTGCCATTTTGTAGCATTTTCTAGAGAAGGGAAGTTGACCTCAAATTGTTAATCTGTGAGATGGGGAAACAGCTCTCATTGTTTGAACACGGTTTGTGTGCAGTAAATTATTGTGTGGAGTAAACTAATGTTTTGACTGACATTCTGCGGTTTAGCCACAAGATGTCACTGTTTTTCTAACACAGGCTCAGACTGCATGGATGTTTGTATATTCACGAAGAGGTGGGGTTTTCACACAGAGTTGGAGTTTTAGTGAACAGGAAGAGAGAGACTGCAGCCATGTTTTGGACGATGCTGAATAAGGGGGCCATGTGAGCTGAGAATCCAATGACATTCATGTGTGAAAGCGTCCCTCACTAACCAGAGATTGCTGCTAGGGAGCTGATGAGATTGCTGCCAGGAAGGCTGATGAGATTGCTGCCAGGAAGGCTGATCACAGCAGAGGAACTAAGCAACATTTGTTCTGTTCAGAGTCACCAGCGGATGCAAAGCAGACCCGGGTCGGTAAGATCGTGCACGCACCTCATTTCAGTGTTGGCGCCTAGAGACTGAGTCCAGGCCGATAGTTAGTTATGGTCTCTGTTTGTGTCAGGCCGCAAGTGTTGTTACTGATAATTGGAAGGACTCCACCACTTAAAGTGACATTTCACATTGGAGAGCTGATAAAATCCTACAAACTCAAGCCAGACTGGCGTTTTGCTCAGAAGGAATACTCAGGGATGTGCTACAGGACCAGTTATGGGAGGGGGAATACTGTAGATTTGTGTAAGATTGTAAGCTGTTGTGCTGCACCGCAGGCTAGCCCATACCGTACACCCATACACTGATTCCTGCTCTGTAGGGTAATAACAGGTAAGGTGTGGCAGCTTAGTTGTGCCCGCCAGTAGGAAATTACTACACTTTCTACCTTCATCCATCGGAGGGCGCCGTGCTGTGCAGCACAAGGGTCTCAGCCTTTGGGCTGGGTGTATGTAAATTTATTGTATGTTCACAGCATTTGGGGTTGTGTTTATTTGCCACATCTAAGTAAAATTCTGTTGTGGCAAAAGCTGGTGTTGGGGTTGCTTTCCTCGTTCGTGACTTCACTGTATCCTGGGGAGCCCACCCCGGGACACGGCTTACAAATCTACAATCAAATTGGGCATCCCAATACCCCTATACCCAAATTCCCTAATAAAACTTAAAAAAAACCCCATGGACTGTTTCTTGTTTCTGGATGCAAGTTGCCTGGCTGTGCATGGGGGACCCAAAGCCAGCATCTCTCAATAGGATAGTGCTACAGTTACATCTCAATATACGTAAGGAACCATGGGAAGCCCTTCTTCACAAACCAATATCCGGCATAATGAAAAAAGAGCGCAAATTAGCGACCCACAACTTCATGGCCACTAAGCAGACTATTGCACGAGCATGGAAAACACCCCTTCACTTGTTTGATGAAGTGAAATGACCGGTACATGGGAGCTCGTTAATGAAAAAAACTAACAGCAATCCTTATGGACACACACGCTAAATTCTGCCTACACGTTTTCTGGAACTGTGAGCTATTACTCGGGCTTGTTTGATAAGCTACTTGTGAGCCACCTGGGGAGGGATTCAACCTCCTCCCCCTGCTGACCTTCCCCTCCTCTTTACACTTCTCTTCTCCCCCCTCTCTCCTTCTTCCCACTCGTTTTTGTCCCTTAGTGCTCTCTCTGGCAAAATCTTCTACTGCTGCATTGGACCTCCACATTTTTTTTCTCGTGCTCCTGTTGTTACGACCTAAAGAGCTTCTCTTTGTGCAAGCTTACCCTTGCTGGCCCCATAAACTAGGCCTCTTAGAGACTTCACAGAGCTCTGGCCTTGACTTTCAGCTTGGCGTGTTATCCGCAGGTCAACCCTGGAAGTTGCTTTGGATCTCACCTTGGCTTCTCTTTATGATCTTCTGGATCCTGCAGCGCATCTCCACTGATCATACAGCGGATTCTGGAGCTGCTACACTTTGCTTCCTTGGAGGAATACACTCACCGGCCACTTTGTTAGGTACACCTGTTCAGTTGCTTGGTAACACAAATTGCTCATCAGCCAATCACGTAGCAGCAACTTGATGCATTTAGACATCTAGACGAGGTGAAGACAACTTGCTGAAGTTCAAACCGAGCATCAAAATGGGGAAGAACAGCGATTTAAGTGACTTTGAGCGTGGCACGGTTGTTGGTGCCAGACGGGCTGGTAGGAGTATTTAAAAAACTGCTGATCTACTGGGATTTTCATGCACAACCATCTCCAGGGTTTACAGAGAATGGTCCAAAAAAGAGAAAATATCCAGTGAGCGGCAGTTGTGTGGAGGAAAATGCCTAGTTGAGGTCAGAGGAGAATGGACAGGCTGGTTGCTGCGACATTCAGATGGTAGGGGCAGAATTTGTTGTAAACAACATGAAAGCATGGATCCATCCTGCCTTGTATCAACGGTTCAGGCTGGTGGTGTCATGGTGGGGTAGATCCATTCTGCCTTGTGTCAACGGTTCAGGCTGGTGGTGGTGTCATGGTGGAGATCCATCCTGCCTTGTATCAATAGTTCAGGCTGGTGGTGTCGTGGGGTAGATCCATCCTGCCTTGTGTCAACGGTTCAGACTGGTGGTGGTGGTGTCATGGTGTGGTGGATCCATCCTGCCTTGTATCAACGGTTCAGGCTGGTGGTGTCATGTGTGTGGTGGATCCATCCTGCCTTGTATCAACGGTTCAGACTGGTGGTGGTGGTGTCATGGTGTGGTGGATCCATCCTGCCTTGTATCAACGGTTCAGGCTGGTGGTGTCATGGTGTGGTGGATCCATCCTGCCTTGTATCAACAGTTCAGGCTGGTGGTGGTGTCATGGTGTGGTGAATCCATCCTGCCTTGTATCAATGGTTCAGGCTGGTGGTGGTGTCATGGTGTGGTAGATCCATCCTGCCTTGTATCAACAGTTCAGGCTGGTGGTGGTGTCATGGTGTGGTGGATCCATCCTGCCTTGTATGAATGGTTCAGGCTGGTGGTGGTGTCATGGTGTGGTGGATCCATCCTGCCTTGTATCAACGGTTCAGGCTGGTGGTGGTGGTGTCATGGTGGGGTAGATCCATCCTGCCTTGTATCAATAGTTCAGGCTGGTGGTGTCGTGGGGTAGATCCATCCTGCCTTGTGTCAACGGTTCAGACTGGTGGTGGTGGTGTCATGGTGTGGTGGATCCATCCTGCCTTGTATCAACGGTTCAGGCTGGTGGGTGTCATGGTGTGGTGAATCCATCCTGCCTTGTATCAATGGTTCAGGCTGGTGGTGGTGGTGTCATGGTGTGGTAGATCCATCCTGCCTTGTATCAACGGTTCAGGCTGGTGGTGGTGTCATGGTGTGGTGGATCCATCCTGCCTTGTATCAACGGTTCAGGCTGGTGGTGGTGGTGGTGTAATGGTGTGGCAGAGATTTTCTTGGCACTAGCAAGGTGGACCTAATAAAGTGGCTGGTGAATGTATACAATTTTTTTGGAGCTTTACCTTTGGACTCATTCTTGTTTACGTAAGGCCTACGTTTGATATGTCATTGCCAGCCTATAACTCTAATACCTGTTATTTGTTCTCTGGTAAATGAGTTTCTCAATAAAAATATTGTAAAAGAAATATCAGGACTCCGGAACACAGCCTGAACAGAGACAGGAATGTTAGTTGTCACTATGATTTTCTGTGAACCAGTCTCCCAGGACCATATCCGCATCAAAGGGACTCTACAAAGACTCCCAACCATCACCATCTCCCACCTTGATGTGAAGAGGGACAGGACATCTCTTCCATCTCACAGAGACACTGAATGGTATTACAAATCCAAACCTTTACTTCCAGAGTCGGCTCAGATATATTTACAGAATTAGCAGTTACTCCAGCATGAGCTGCCATTTTGCTAAGCACAAGCTCCCATTGATGGCTCCTCGCATGAAAGAGATGTCCATACCTTCAGGTACACTGGTAACACCCTGTAAGTTCTCATACATCGGAACCCACAGACCCTAGCTGATGTCTGATTGGAATTTACAATCTGTCGACTGATACTTTATACCGCCAAGGCTTGGTTTACATTACTGCATGCACATATGCCTTTTATCAGTGCTCCCATGCATCCGTGTAGGGCAGCCCATTCATTTCAATAGGCTGCCCTACCCGTGAGAAACATGGGGAAAGAAGTCCCAAACTCTTTTTAAATATTGTACCGCACCGAACCACTTGATTTGGCAAGAGTGAAAACGCACACATTTTTCCGTTGCATGGTGCGTCTGCTAAAGAGCGTTTCTCTGTGCGTTGGGAAAGCTTGTGATTTTGTCTGAATTCCCGTCACACACACAGAGGTGAATCAGGCCCAGGGGCGGACTGACAACTTATGGGGCCCTGGGCAATAAGGGATCATGGGGCCCCTGTGTCCTCACCCACACTCAAACCACACCCAAAAAAGCCTAGGTACTAGGGGCATCTCATGGGGCCCCCTACTAACCCTGGGCCCTCGGGCAGTTCCACGAATGCCCAGATGGTCAGTCCGCCCCTGATCAGGCCTAACACACAGATGCTCGGTTCAGGTCACAATCAATCAAAGAAATCTGGCGTTGGGATACCAATGGGAAACTGCCCAGGGGGACTAACTCTCCAGCAGCCATCAAACAATGAAATATCACTTGTGAGCGTAAGGAGCCCTTCACTCCCGCTTTATAGAGAATAGGATGAGAACACACATCTCCTACCTCTCCTGCTTACTGTATCCATGACAAGCACAAAAGAAGAAAGAAGCGGAGAAGTTAAATGAGAGAAGAGACAGATCAGAACATGACAGGTTATAATACGTCATTGTGTATGCAAACGTTTGAAAAACTGTCTGTGCTTCCCACAGCAACCAATCAGGTTTTCCCTTTTACTCCTAACCTGCACTTAAGATGAAATTAATTGGAGGTCTCTGTCAGCTATGAAAATTCTCTTTTTTTTGTAGGATCCTTCCACATATGGGAGGCTCAGTGTCTAACTACTTGCTGCCCGCCAACAGTACATTTACTGCTGGTGGGCGGCATCCCCAGGCATTGCGACATATGTGTACGTCACGGTGAACATGTGTATTGCGGCACGCAATGGCATGATCCTGTGACCGCTGTGTCCAGTGGAAACAGCAGACCATGGTGCTCAGTACCCAGCCGCTATGAGTGGCCAGGGTATCACTTGATTGCCATGACACGCCTGTATTCTCTTGGGCTTTGTTCTGGGGCAGTGGTCTCTAAACTGTGGCCTGCAGGCTAGATGTGGCCCTTTGTTTGACTTTCTCCAGCCCTTGGGATACTACTCCTCCCACTAATATAAGGCACTATTCCTTTCACTGACAAAAATGATGCAAAAACATTCTTTCCACTGACACCATTGATGGGGCACTATTCCTCCCAATGATGGGGCACTATTCCTCCCACTGACACCAACGATGGGGCACTATTCCTCCCACTGATACCAATGATGGGGCACTATTTCCTCCCACTGACTCCAATGATGGGGCACTATTCCTCCCACTGATACCAATGATGGGGCACTATTCCTCCCACTGATACCAATGATGGGACATTATTCCTCCCACTGACATCAATGATGGGGCACTTGTCCTCCTACTGACACCACTAACACCAATGATAGGGCACTATTCCTCCCACTGATACCAATGATGGGGCACTATTCCTCCCACTGACACCAATGATGGGGCACTATTCCTCCCACTGACACTAATTATGGGGCACTATTCCTCTCACTGACACCAATAATGAGGCACTATTCCTCCCACTGACACCAATGATGGGACAATATTCCTCCCACGGATATCAATGATGGGGCACTATTCCTCCCACTGACATTAATGATGGGGCACTAGTCCTCCAACTCACGCCAATGATGGGACAATATTCCTCCCACGGATATCAATGATGGGACATTATTCCTCCCACTGACATCAATGATGGGGCACTTGTCCTCCTACTGACACCACTAACACCAATGATAGGGCACTATTCCTCCCACTGATACCAATGATGGGACACTATTCCTCCCACTGACACCAATGATGGGGCACTAATCCTCCCACTGAAACCAATGATGGAGCACTGTTCCTCCCACTAACACCAATGATGTGGCACAAGTCCTTCCACTGACACCAATGATGGGGCACTATTCCTTCCACTGATACCAATGATGGGGCACTATTCCTCCCACTGATACAATGATGGGGCACTATTCCTCCCACTGACACCAATGATGGGGCACTATTCCTCCCACTGAAACCAATGATGGGACACTATTCCTCCCACTGACACCAATGATGGGGCACTATTCCTCCCACTGATACCAATGATGGGGCACTGTTCCTCCCACTGACACCAATGTCGGAGCACTATTCCTCCTCCTTCTGATCACAGGCACTATGCAATTTATTTACTCCTACTGACCACCAAGCCAGAAACATTGTTTACTCCCATTGATGCTGGGGGCATTTTCAACTCCCACTGGCCACAGCCCGGCCCCCACTAAAGTCTGATGGACAGTAAACTGACCATTTGTTTAGAAAGTTTGGAGTCTCCTGTTATAGGACATACAATCTATACACCGATTACCCCCCTCTGTATGAAGCAACAACATAGATAACACATTCTACAATAAAATATAACAAACCTAAAGTACAAAAGTGGAAAAACTTTATTAAAAACCCTAAAGTAAACATATTTTAATATACACAGTATTAAAAACCAAGGCTTGTCTCTACCACATGGCTATGTGGGGGTTGGTATACCTATATAAGAGGTAGTGAAAGGGCCACACACATAGATCAAAGAGTCTCAGGTGGTGTTCCATGGAGCTCCACACTGCAAAGTTTGCTGGTAGTTGGGGTCTTACCACATAGATATCAAAATTATTATTGTCCAGCCATATTTAAAGTGGACCTACACTGTACTTGAGCACCAAAAACTCTATTTAATTAATTTTAAATGAAACTCCCCCCTCCATCCATGTCTCCATGCTATGAAAAAAACACCCCCCTAGCATTTCTGGCCTTGGCCATCTTGACTAAGGGCAGATGATTCATGTAGCATTTACTTCCTGGAATCCATCTGCCTGTAGCTCATGCATGCAGGCAGGAGGGTGTTTTTAGCTGAGAAAACCCCTCCTGAAGACTCCTGGGATGTATGACATCAGTTGGCAAGGCATGGAAACTAGGAAGTAACTGAAGAAATGTCTATGACGATTGAGAGAGTGAAGTTCTGCTTTATGGTGATATAAGACTCAAGCCTTGATGAACAGGGAGTGCTGGAGTTATCCTAAACACCATCTTGGACTCTTTGACCTGGGTGGTACTTTCACTACCGCTTATATTGTTGGATTTTGCTCAAAAACCGCACTCAGCTGAAGGTCTTTGATACGTGTGCGCAGCCTTTCTGAAACGTGTTGGCTTTACCAATGAGATAGCCTTTTACAACAATACCGGACACTAACAGTACCAGAGCTAGCGCCTCTTATGCATGTATCTCGATGTGATTTTGGTATGACGTATGCAATTGCCCGTGTGGTGTACAGTCCATGGGTCACATGTAAAATATAAAATGTATATATTGACCAGGCTTACCTCTTGAAGAGAAGGATGGCAATGACGATGATGATAATGAGGATGACTGCCAGGACTGGGCCCATCACCCACAACATCTCAGGCTCCTCCTGTTGTCTAGATGAGGAAACCTCCACCACGATGTTATCAGAATACGGGCTGGCTGCATACTTCTTCTGTGTAGCAGAACAAAGGATGGGTCAGGGGGACAATGAGAAGATGGTTTTGTGGTGCCAACTTCAAATTCAATTACTCAAAAACTAGGACAGCAGCAGCTCTCAATACTGAGAACTTTGCCTTCTGGGATCAGCTAAGGCTCTCACCTAGAACAAGTGGTGGTCAATGCCTAACTCCTAGGTAGTTGTAGTCAAGTCAGGCTTCATATAGGTGTGTACTGCTCTGGAACTAGGAGAGTAGCAACTCTGAGTACTGAGAACCTCACTTACTAGAATCTTCAAGGCTCCCACCTAGAACAGGAGGCTGTCATTGCCCAACTCCTAGATGGTTCTAGTCAAGTCAGGCCTCATATTAGGGTGTGAACTGCTCTGGAACTAGGACAGTAGCAACTCTGAGTACTAAGAACCTCATTCAGAGAACCACACTCACTAGAATGCTCCCACCTAGAACAGTGGGTAGTCACTATCTAACCCCTAGTGGTTCTAGTCCGGTCAGGCCTCATATAAGTGTGCACTGCTGTGGAACTAGGACAGCAGCAGCTCTCAATACTGAGAACATTGCTTACTGGGATCAGCTAAGGTTCTCACCTAGAATGAGGGGTGGCCAATGCCTAACTCCTAGGTGGTTGTAGTCAACTCAGGCCTCATATAGGTGTGTACTGCTCTGGAACTAGGACAGTAGCAACTCTGAGTACTGAGAACCTCACTTACTAGAATCTTCCAAGGCTCCCACCTAGAATGGTAGGTGGTCACTGCCTAACCCCTAGTGGTTCTAGTCCTGTCAGCCTCATATAAGTGTGCACTGCTGTGGAACTAAGACAGCAGCAGCTTTGGATATTGAGAACCTCATTTACTAAAATCTTCCAAGGATCCTAACTAGAAAGGATAGTGGTCATTGCCCAACCTCTAGGTGATTCTAGTTAAGTCAAGCCTCATATTCTGTAGGTGTGCAGCTTTCTGGAACTAGGACAGCAGCAGCTCCCAGTACTGAGCAGGAGGCTTGGTTGAGCTTTGAAAATGTTAAGATTTGATCTTGCGTTCACATTGGTGGGGGAACAGTCCACACAGACTGCAGCAATGATGTCTGAAGAAGGCAGCTAAGGCCCTCCAGCTTTGGAAGAAATATTCTAAGCAAGCTATGCTTGAGTTCCTCAAAACTGAGAAGTAGCCCGACTGCTTCAGATCCTTCAAAGTCTTATGCGCTGAAACCCATGAGTTATTAATATTTATTTATAAATGTGTTCAGATCTGGTCATGCGTTGAGGTTATATGGTGTGCAGGGCGTTAGACTCACAGTGTCCCCATCTTCTAGAGCCGCCAGCACGAAGCAGGTATAGCTCAAGTCGGCGTTCAGTGGCTTGTTGATGAATCCATTATATTCTTTGTTGTCACCGAGAGTGAAGATTTCCGGGAGAGGGTTGAGACAAGCCGCTATGTATGGCTTATTCTTTGTAGCGTGACGTCTCTGCCGGCGGGAGCCCTGATTAATGGCTTCCAGAATCTGGAAGAGAAAAGGATTGCAACGGGAGAAATGTTGTTTTATAAACTTTTAAGTATTGTTGTTTATTTATAACAGGCAGTTATTTAGCACCAACAGTTTGCACAGCTCTTTACATACTGTTCACATCAGTCCCTGCCCTTAAGGAGCTTACAATCTAATGCCCCCATCACCCATACACATACTAGGGTCAGTCTGGAGAGGAGCCAATTAATTTATCAGCATGACTTTGGAGTATGGGAGGATACCAGGGTACCCAGAGGAAACCCACAAAGGTACAAAGAGAACATGCAAACTCCATGTAGGTAGTATCTCGGTTGGGACATGACTCAGGGACCCCAGTGCTGCAAAATAGAAAGTGCAACTGCTGCTCTGAAATCCCAAGCAGTGTTGTCAGTCCTTCCTGCTGCAGTACAGAAATCCACCCATCCCTAACCGTCTCTGTCCCTTTTCACAGGCATACAATCATTTCTTTCCCAGCAAAATAATGTTGCTTTCTTGACTTCAAAGAGCCTGCCTACACACTATGGGGTCTATTTATTAACCGCTTACACGCTACGCGGTATAGCAGATATACTGCTACATGGCGGCACGTGTGCGCAAAATCACATTTATATACGTGACTTTGCATTTGCAGGTAGGGGTCGCGCGCACGCCCTACCCGCGCCGCCATTCATGGCCGCGGATGTCAATCACTGGGTTCCAGCCAGTGATTACCCGCCGACGTTCAGTAATTACCGACAATCACTGACGGGGAAGAAGACTGTTTTTGTTTACAAACAGCCTTCCTCCCTGTCAGCTCAGGCACACTGCACAGCACAGCCATTCCGATCAGTGTGCTTACAGTGAAGCACACACCCCCCGCCCCCTAGTAAAACATTCCCTACACACAGTTAACCCTTTGATCGCCTCTCACATTAACCCCTTCCTGCCCAGTGCCATTAGTACAGTGTCAGTGCTTTTTTTTAGCACTGATCACTGTATTGGTGTCATTGGGGATGTCAGTGACACCAAATTAGTTCCCCCCCCAGTGTCAGAATGTCCACCGCAGTCCTGCTAAAAGTCGCTGACCGTCGCCATTACTAGTAGGAAAGAAAAAATCCCAGTATCTATACCGCCATTTGTAAAAGCTAGGACTTTCACGTAAACCCATTCATTTACACATATTGGGATTTTTTTTTAGCAAAGACACGAAGCAGAATACATTTTGGCCGAAATTTATGACGAAATTTGATTTTTACATTTTTTTTACTGGACGTGTTTAATAGCAAAAAGTCCAAAATAGTGTTTATTTCTCAAAATTGTCAGTCTTTTTTTGCTTATAGCGCAAAAAATAAAAAACACACAGGCGATGAAATACCACTGAAAGAAAGTTCAATTCGTGGGTAAAAAAGGACTTAAATTTCATCTGGGTGCAGCGTTGCATGACCGCGCAATTGTCAGTTAAAGTAATGCAGCGCCGTAATGCAAAACATGGCCTGGTAAGGAAAGGGGGGGGGGGATCCTCTGGAGGGCAAGTGGGTAAATTATTGTTGCGCGTACGTCTCAAGCATTCGCACAGTCATCACCAGTATTGGCTGTATCATGTTTATTTCCTGTGGTCGTCAGGGCCACCTAGTGGCCATAATGCAATATTTTTCTGATTGGAGTATTTCAGGAAAACGGCCACTAGATGGAGCAGTCGATTACAGGAAACAAGCATATTACCAGTAATACTGCGATTATTGCTGACAGATGCGCAATGCTTGAGATATTTGCACAGAATTTTTTTTGGTTATAAACAGACCCCTATGTGTAGGGATAGGGCTCTTGGGATATGTAGCTCTCCTACAGCAGTTTCTCCTGCAAGAGTTATACAGGTCTGGTAATCACAGTATATGCCCGGACATGCACTTTAAAGATATATTATTATCATTTGTCCCCGGTAAATAAATGTCCCCCTCCTTTTATGGAATACGTAATGGTTGCAGGGAAGCTCGCATATGTTACTGGGGAAGATTTCTTACCTTCCATCTCGTATGCATTGACCATCGCGTGTGAGTAATGGAATTACAAACATTATTCCTTTCTCCTCTGTGCTTGATGTGCTGACATGTAAGGCCGAAATTGCCTGCAAAACTACAACTTGCCCTGCGCTCTCTTCAAGGTCAGCCTCGCTCCTTTCCTGCCTCTTCTATCATCCTGAGATTACAGTTTATCCCCGAATGTATTATTTATTTACAGAGCAGTGGGATCGGGCTTCATCTTATATCTATGAGCCATCTGTAGATACCACCAAGGTTCAGTGCAGAGGTTGGAAAACCTTGTCTGGCCACTGTTTTTACAGTGATAAGCCAACACTAGAAGGGTCTCGGAGGCTGGCCAACACAGGACCCTGAAGGCAATTGGGCCATACATTCAGCTTTCCACTACTGCCCATGGCCAGCTTCAGAGATGTCCACTTATCAAATTCCAAATCATGTGACCTACCTGAATGGTTGTGATACACACTATATGGCATGGCAAAAAGTTTATGGACCCCTGACCATCCCACCTCTATTTGCTTTCGGGCATCCCATTTCCAAGACATAGTTACAAAGTTATTCTGGTTAAAAAAAATGCAGATGTCCGTCCAGTTCAACCAACCAAGACCTTAGGCATTAATATGGATTTGCAATAGCAACCCCCACACTTCTCTGAAGTTTTGCAGGGTAACTAGGGGAATTTGTGCCCATTTGTAAGGTCGGGTACTGATGCTGGGTGAGAAGACTGCCCATGGCCATGGGCAAATACTTTCCATGGCCAGCTTCAGAGATGTCCACTTATCATATTCCAAATCATGTGACCTACCTGAATGGTTGTGATACACACTATATGGCATGGCCAAACGTTTATGGACCCCTCACCATCCTACCTCTATTTGGTTTTGAGCATCCCATTTCCAAGACATACTGTAGTTACCAAGTTAATCTGGTTAAAAAAAAATGCAGAAGGCCGTCCAGTTCAACCAACCAAGACCTTGGCCATTAATATGGATTTGCCCCTCCCCAGTGCAATAGCAACCCCCTCTTCTCTGACGTTTTGCAGGGTAACTATGAGAATTTGTGCCCATTCGTAAGGGTGACCATTTGTGCCCATTGTTGGGTGAGAAGACTTGGTCCACAATTGGCGTCCCGACTCATCCCAACGTTGTTCAGTAGGGTTTAGGTCAGGGCTCTGTGCATGCCACTTGAGGTCCTCCACACCAAACTGGTCAAACCATGTCTTTATGGAGCTGGCTTTGTACACGGGAGCAAAGTCATGCTGGAACAGACTGTTTAACAAAACTTGAATGTACCAAAATTACTTTGTATGGTGGTATTAGTAGCACCCTTCAATGGAAACACCTGAACTCAATTTTTTAGTGGAAGGTCTACATACTGTTGGCCATATATATCCGCACAGTGATTGCAGCTCAGACAGCCTCCCCATAATTCACATGCCTTTTAAATAAAACCTTCAAAGGTCATCTCAGGATCCTCATATCTGCCTCTTGTTGGGTAATGTAAAGACAAAATGTAACTTGTCTAAGTATTTTATCTGGTACACATTAAAGCATTTAATCAGACAGAGAGGAACTGTAGAGGCAGCTGTTACAGAATGCTAAAATTCTCATTAGAGCAAGTCAGAAGCCCTCAAGCTGCATGGCAGAAGGAGACACAGGTGGGACTAAAGTTCTGCCATTGTCCCATATACAACCATGCACGTGTGTAGATTCTCCTTACGATGGGCGTAGAGGAATAACTGTGTTGTCCACTAACCTGCTCCAGCTCCATCTCCTCCGGGCTCTGCCAGCGAGCGCTCAGACTACCACTGGAACGGTCCAAGGGAACAACCACAATGTAATACCATCTGGAGATACAGGGGAGGACAAGACACCGATCAGTCAGTAGGAAGAACAGATCTCCAAGGTAGCCCCTCACGGGGGAAAGATCATGGCATCAGTTCAATTGAATAGATTTTATCTGATGTTTCATTTATGTAGCGAAATGTTGCAATTTTTTTTTTGTTTCCATGCAATCATTATTTAAGATACATATAAGGCTAAAACTTTTCTTTTTCAGTCTTGGAATGAGTAGGGAGAAACCCTGTCCTTTTTTTTTGGTGTTGTGACCTATTGGAGAGATTGCCCTTCACTTTTTGTCCTGGAAACAAAACAGGATAGGAAAGGAACAAAAAGGAAATTGCTTTCCAAAAATAGGGCATCGCACTAACAACACATATTGATAAAACAATAATTATTTAAATTCATAAAAAAAAAATTGTGAAATGATACAAAACCATCACACATGAGTTATAAGCGCTTATGATACATACGATTAAAAACAATACAAATGCATAGATAGACTAGATGCTAATATATCCCACTGGTCTGTACCGACGCATTTCACAGTCCACAGCTACTTCATCAGGGACATTACGGAAGAATGGTTTTAAGCATTTTTATACATTGACAATATTAATAAACAGATCCCACTGTGAAAACCAACTGATAGTCACCTGACGGGGGCGCTGGTCTTTACTCTGGGCAGCTCCAGGGTAAATCGTCCTTCCTCCATGTACTTGCTGGCAGAGGATGGCTTGCTCTGCAGGACGTCGGGAGCCGTGCGGATGGACACTCTGTGTTGGAGACCGCCAGCGCTGCTGCTGCCGCGGTTCATGAGTACAAAGGAATACTCTGTGTCTGGCTGGAGGTTATTGATGAGCTTGCGCATTGAGTGACCGTCCACCTCTACGTTCTGGTTGTTGTATAGAATCTGCCAATGGAGAAAAACATAAAGCAACGAAAAAGAAGGTTTTTAGAACATTCCCGAATGGCCAAGTTCTAGGTGTTTATCGGAACAGGATGTTTAAAATGTAGGTATTATTGAGGTAGGTCTTATTTTAATTTTTTTTAGGTCATATAGCGGACTCCCTGTTCTGATGGGATAATGGTCAGCTGTCATCTCCATACCTACTTTTTGCCTATGGTGACAGCCAACAGCCTGTACAGCAAATTGAGGCAAGTGCTGGCCAGTCTTGAGATTCACCTTGCACAGGACAGCGGGCCATCACCTCTGTTTAACCTTTCCTGCCCAGCCTCGATGTTCTTTTAACTTGACTATGATGACCAGAGGGCAGAAGGGTTTCATTGTGATTGGTTGTCACAGTGGTCACATGATTGGGAGCTGATCCCACCAGCTTCTAATTAGTACTAGAGACCAGGAGCTGTCTCTGACAGTTCCGTCACTGTGGTGGTAGCATTCAGGGACTGTACTCTCAGCACAGAAACCTCTGTCATCCATGGATGCATAGGTGCAGCATGTAGGTGTTAACGCCCACCCTCTTTGCTGCCGCACATATGCATTACGTGCAGGGGCAGACTGACCATTCGAGTATTCGGGCACTGCCTGAGAGCCCGGGGTCAGTAGGGGGCCCCATGAGATGCCCCTAGTACCTTTTTCATAGGCTGTTTTGAGTTTGGGCAAGGACACAGGGGCCACATGATCCCCTATTGCCCGGGGGCCCTGTGAGTTGTCAGTCCGCCCCTGCTTCTATCACTTCCTGGGCTCCTAGCTGGCTTGTCTATATAAGACATGGTCAGTCTGTCCCACTTTGCCTGAGCAACGCCTTGTTGTTGGAGCTCCCATGTGTTACTACTGTGAATCCTATATAGTCGATCTGTGTCCCGACCCTGGCTACGTTACTGACTGCTTGTTTTCCACCTGTCCTGACCTCGGCTTGCCTACCGGATTCCCTGTGTCTTCTCACATGATTTGGAATTTGATAAGTGGACATCTCTGAAGCTGGCCATGGGCAGTAGTGGAAAGCTGAATGTATGGCCCAATTGCCTTCAGGGTCCTGTGTTGGGTGTGGTTTTAAGTGTGGGTGAGGACACAGGGGCCCCATGATCCCCTATTGCCCAGGGGTCCCATGAGATGCCCTTAGCACCTTTCATAGGCTTTTTTTGGGTGTGGTTATAAGCGTGGGTGAGGACACAGGGGCCCCATGATCCCCTATTGCCCAGGGGCCCCATGAGTTGTCAGTCCTCCCCTGGCTCGGGGTCAGTAGGGGGCCCCATGAAATGCCCGTTACCTTTTTATAGGCTTTTTTGGGTGTGCTTTGAGTGTGGGCAAGGACACGGGGGCCCCATGATCCCCTATTGCCCAGGGGGCCCCATGAGTGAAAAGTTGTGAAAAGTGAAAGTTAAAAATTATTTAAATTTATATATTTTAGACACATTTAAATAATTTTTCACTTGTTGCTATTGGTCATATATTTTTAATATAATTAATATTATATATATTTTATCCGTTGGATTTTTGATGACACGAGTTGTTTGGTTTAAATATTACGATTATCATTTTTATTCATTTAGTGGAGCGCGGCACATATTTATCTTTTTAATAATCTAGAAGTGGGATTCCTAAACTCCCGGAAAATGTTGTTTTTTTGTCTCCTGACCTCATGTCACATGCTATAAAGATTTACAGGGCTTTAATCCGATGATTGGCACGCTCATCCTTGTTTACATTCTCCAGACAACTCTAGGGAACCCCCAAGGTTAACCAGGTTGGCTGAGAGCTGCGTGCAAAGAAACAAACAGAGGGCGCAGGGGCCTAGTGCATTACCTTGTAAAAATGAGATTTATTGAATAAAAAGTAGTAGACTCACAAAAGAATAAAATCACAAAATAGACAGCATGGTCCAATCTCTCTAGGTGGTGGCTGTTGGGGGACTGTAGGCCTCCAAATACTGACGCGTTTCAAGGCAGAACCTCTTCCTCAGAGCCAAGCATTACCAGCTCTTTTCAGAGAGGACACAGGCTGTGAAGACTTGGCTCTGAGGAAGAGGTTCTGCCTCGAAACGCGTCAGTATTTGGATGCCTACAGTCCCCCAATAGCCACCATCTAGGGAGATTGGACCATGCTGTCTTTTTTGGGATGTGCCTTTGATTTTATTCTTTTGTGAGTATACTACGTTTTATTCCATCAATCTCATTTTTAGAAGGTGATGCACTAGGCCCGTGCGCCCTCTGTTTGTTTCTTTGCACACAGCTTCTTTGGATTTCCCCGGTCCGTTGAGGACAGCAAGGCTTGCATTCCCAAAAAGTACTCCACGTGGGGTTACCGACATTGTGGAACTCATCTTCCAGCGCAGGAGTTTCAGCATTCATTTGCTCATGCTTTTTTATTTGGCTGAGAGCTGCCTCTACATCTTTCAGGCCCTATCTTTACTTTGCCTTGGGCCCAGCACACTCATTCCTAGACTTGGAGCAGGCAGGTGACCCATGAAGTGGTATTGGGAAACGGGAGAATGGTCTTCCTGTGAATTACAAAACTTGCTGAACAGCATAAATACATTTTTAATTGGCTAACTGACCTAACTGAAATATATTTAAAAAATATTTTTCCCAAATATATTGACATATATATTTGAAATACTAAAATTTTGGCCATATTCAATATATTTAAAAATATATTTCAATAAATAAAAAATAAAAAAATAAATATAGATCTATCTAGTCGTATCCAACCCTTGGCGATTGCATGGACTGTCACTCGTAAGCGACTTCTACTATGAATACTCTTAGCAATTAATTTACAGGGTAGGTTGCCAGGTCTTTCCCAAACCCCCACCATGCAGGAGATCCCGCATGGCCAAGGATGAAACTGGGACAATTTAGACAGGAGCCAATTAACCTACCAGCATGTCTTTGGAGTGTGGGAGGAAACTGGAGTACCTGGCGGAAACCCACACGAACACAGTGAGAACATGCAAACTCCATGCAGGAGGCGCCATGGTTGGGAATCGAACCCATGACCCAATTACTGTAAGGCAGAAGTACTAACCTAAGCCACTGTGAGATATATATAAGCTCTGTGCACGTTGAAATGCATTTTTTATATATACAATATATATGATAAATATATATATTTTTAAAGATATATATATATTTTTTTAGCATATTCTTATATATATAACAAAGAAAAAAGTATTTTAACATATATATATATTAAATATATATATATATATATATATATATACATACATATATATATATATATATATACGTTATGCATTTTTTATATATTACAATATATATGGAAAATATAAAGATTATATATATATATATTTTTTTTTATACATATTCTTCAGATTTTTTTTAGAATATAGTAATTTATAACAATATATTTCAATAAACAAATATATATAAAAAATATATATATATATATACATATATATACATATATATATATATATATATATATATATATATATATATATATATATATATACTCTGCACGTTGAAATGCATTTTTTATATATTACAAGGAAAATATATATGGAAAATATTTTTAAAGATATATATTTTTTTTAAGTATATTCTTCAGATTTTTTTTAACAAAGAAAAAAGTAATTTTAACATATATTTTTACATATATTTGTAAATGCATTCCAAAAATGTAGATTTGTATTTTTAAAGACATACAGTATATTTTTAAATATATTTTTCATATATTTTGCAATAAAAAATGCATTTCAACATACAGTATATATATATATATATATATATATATATATATATATATTTTTTTTTTTTTTTTGTTTATTGAAATATATTTTGAAATATATTGAATATGGCCAAAATTGTAGTATTTCAAATGTATGTCAATATATTGGAGAAGAATATTTTTTAAATATATTTCAAATATATTTTTCTTCCATATAGGTCCAGTCCGTCTTTCCACAGAACTGGTGGTATGACACCAATGAACATTTAGCGGTCCGTGGTTTTCTGACCACCACTGTAAGAATTTCATTTTTTCCACTGACCCCCAATGTAAGGAGCATTCTTCTCATTGACCCCTGATAAATTCCTTTTAGCAGGGGTTCCCTGAGACCTGAAAATTATTTCTAGGGTTCCTCTGGGGTAAAAAGGTTGAGAAAGGCTGATTTAGATGTTTATCTGGAATTCTAGTTAACAATATGGTGTTGATTTGTACACATGCTCCCTGTGCGGATATTACGGAATCATCCAAGCCACACCAGCAAATCATCTTGGTGGTCAGAGTGAAGTGTAGACAACAACAACGCAATCAACACTCTGCACATCAGCCCAATGTTCTCCTCCGCCACCTCAAGCAGAACCACAATAAAGAGCCGCCCGTTGATGAACGCTAACCTTGAAAGGCACAGCGGATTTGTACGAGTCGGGGACTTCCCAGCTGAGCAAGACCGATGTTTTCATCACTGCGTTCACCCTAAAATTCTTTGCGAACACTGCCAGGAGAGGGAAAACAAAGAAAACCTCTTCAGGGTATTCAATGAAGTTGTGAGAAGATATGGATTTCTTTTACACATTGTCACAATATCTATAATTTTTGGAGGTATACGATTATATATTATTACATTAATGGTGATTAAAGATTTATTTTAACAGCATTTTGGAGGAAGGTATCTGCTCTGAAAGAGACCTGGAGAGCAGGGAGATCAGAATAAAAGCATATAGTTTGTTTCTTGGCATCATCAAGTTTAGATTTTGCAAGAGCAATGAAGCAAAAATATCTGTGTATGCACAGCCAAAACTTCTACTATAACTATACAAAAAAATACAAATGTGAAGTGCAAAAATATTACCAAAAGCCTACAAGAAAACAAACAAACAAAAAAAAAACAGCGGGGCAAAGGGGGGCCGGATGAGAGTAGTAATCATCTGAAAGAGGACAAGGGCCAAGAAATCCCATATTTTATAAAAGTTGTGGAAAAAACAAGCGAAGGAGGAGGTTCCAAATGCCATACTTTATACACTTACCAATAGCGATTGGTAAAAACTCTCCACAACTTTTATAGAATATTGTCCGCCATGTTTTTACGCCTATAAAAAGTCCCCTGCCCCTCAAACATCCATACCTTGGTCCACAGGCATTGTGCGTGACTGAATGCTGGGGCTGAGGGGCCCTTGTCCCTTGTTGGTCCTTGCCCTGACCTTAATGTCATAGGTAGTGTCTGGCTTGAGGTTGACCAAAGTGATATGTGTGTCACGGGTGATGTTGTACATATCCTGAGGGCTGTTGATGTCTCGGTACACCACTGTGTAGTTCGTGATCCTTCCGTTCCGTTCTGCCAAGACTGGTGGATCCCAGGACACCTCGGTGGTGGATGTGGTGAGCCCAACAACCTGCAGATTCTGTGGGAACCCACTGGGCACATCCTCTGGCGTGGAGATCTCCTTCTCGTACTCCTCTCCAAAGCCGGCCCGGTTCTTGGCGGACAGTTTGAAGACATACGTGCGCCCCGGTGCAGTTTGGTCACCGTGTAGTGATGCTCATTCTTTCCAAAGTCCATGGTGATGAACTTCTCCTCATCCACCCGTTTATACTGCAGGCGGTAGCCCTGGATCTCTCCAACCAACTCTCTGGGTGGATGCCACTGAATAAGCGCTGTGTTCTGGGACGTTGTGCCAATCATCATGGTGGGCTTGCCTGGCACTGAAATGATAACATTTATTTTATGAAGGACTCTGAATCAGTTGTATTAAATGAACATGAAACAGTGCTGCCAGTTTGTCTCTTACAAACCCAGGACATCTTACAAAGATTGGTTAAACCTTTGTGGCACTACATATGATTCTTGCTCTAACCAAGAAGGGTTCCTGACCTCCCTGTAGCAGCAGTAGCTCGACCTGGTCAAGCCCACACCCCCAGCTTATGGATTGGGCAATAAAGGAGCTGAAGTACACAGATGAATCATCCTTCTACTCACCTGGAAGGCTGTAGATGGAGTAAGCTTGAGGAAGGAGTGGTGAATCCAGGGGCGGACTGACCATTTGGAAACTCGGGCACTGCCCGGGGTCAGTAGGGGGCCCCAGGAGATGCCCCTGGTTTCTTTTTCATAGGCTTTTTTTAGTTTGGGCAAGGACACAAGGGCCCCATGATCCCCTATTGCCCGGGGGCCCCATGAGTTGTCAGTCCACCCCTGGGTGAATCACTTCGAAATGCACTTAATAATAATTCTTTAGTATGATAAACATTTCAATGAGTGGTTTTTGTAAAAAGCCTGGTGAGCAATTCTGGGACCTAGAAATTTATCTCTCTTCATTGCAGCTTAAGCCGGCCATAGATGGAGCAACTTTCTTTCCTGTAATGGCTTGATTTCCCCATCAACACTGTATTGATTGGGGAGTCCCTTCCGCAGTGCCACTGTGTTCTCCCGGTTGGGGCTTGGGTGGTGGGTGGGTGGAGGGTTGGGAATGTATTGTGTGAAGGGAGCCGTCCCCGATGGGAGAACACAGTGGTTACAGCTAGTGTCTATAATAGTAAAGTAACAAGCTGTTTGACAATTGATCAATCAACTTGGGCACATTCAGCCTGCCCATACATGGTTCGAATCTAAGCTGGTCCCTGCTGAACAGGCCAAGATTCGAACCGTCTGTGGCTGGCTTTACTTCATCGACAGTCCTCTAACTCATCCCACTGTCAGCTCCTTGAACCACATACAATATAAAAGTGCCTCTCAATATATACACAAGCTGAGCATATTTTGCTTCATTTGCTAGTGTCAGGGTTCTGTCCACAGCAGGAGTACTAGGAGACCTGGCACTCCTGCCAGTACCTTGCATGGCCACAGAAGTGCAAGTTGGCGAAAATCTATGCGCATTGGCGCAAACCAGAACACGCATGCGCACCGGTGCATAGTTGCGCACGCATTGGCTCAGTTTGGCACCAGACGACCTTTATAAGGTGGCTCATCACTCCCTCAAATTGCTGGTTGATCTCTGGCTCCCCAGTACCATTGTCCGTGTTCCCTTGCTATCGTGATTTCCTGTTACCGACTCGGCTTGCTCTTGGACCTGTCTTCTCTGCCTGACTCCTGACCTGACCCTGGCTTGGCTAATGGATATTCTCCCCCGCTCCTCTGTGTATGACCCCGGCTATCCTTTTGGCTACATCTGCTCCAATCTCCACACCTGGTACTTGACCTTGGCTTTGAAGCGACTATCCTGTGGTCCTCTGTTTCTCTGAGCGCTTGCATATCTATCACGGGCGCCACCTGTCTGCAGACTCCATTTCAGTGCATCAGCTGTGCTCCTGGGTATACCTTTAACAAGCACTCCTACAGGAGACGACCCGTGCTACTTTCGACCCGACTCCTGCTGTCCCATATCCAGGGGAGTCCGGAACTTAGCCGCAAGGGAAGCCCTCTCTCCGTTGGCCTCCAACACCAGGTACATGATAGCTAGCAATAGTATACTCCCTTGTTGTATTTCTTTTAAACATGGGTGACACGTAGCTAAGGGGAAATCTGCCCAATGGGGTCAAAGACAGCAAAAAAAAAAAAAAAGAAACCGTAATATTCTATCTTCCCTCACTCCATTCAAACCTAAAATAAAGAATTCGGAGTGCAGTTGGGCTTAAACACGTAGCTGAGTTCTTACTCACAATACCAGTGATGGTACTTACCGGCCCCTGTCGTGGTCACAACTTTGGGTTTACTCCTGGCGCCGTCTCCCTTTGTGGTATAAGCCGCCACCGTGATGGAATAGGTGGTCTCCGGGGAAAGCCCAGTAATAAGGGCCTCCTGAATGTGGAAAATGAGAGAGCGGTCAAGTTTACTGCCAACACTCCAGCTGCCATTGATGCAGTTCTGCATTTGCACAGGAGGGGGAACTGAAGGAACGTGCTACACATCGCCCCCCTCTGCCTTTCACCAAATAGGCTTTTTTTTTTTTTTTTTTTCCCGGAGGTTACAGACTGGCTCAGCGAGGATAAGTGGCTCAGTGCGCTGCAAATCACTTATGTTAGGAGGAGACTACAAACATTCCCGGTCTCCGTTGGATCATTATCGATGGAGATGCAGGCAATTCTGCAATGAGTGGACAGTGCAGCCTTTGGAGAACTAACCGGCAATACACCGGGACAAACACAGGCACACTGGAGTACATACTTGTGATTTGGTAATGAAATTAAAAAAAAAAAAAAAAAATCCAAAACCACGACAGAGAGCGAAATGCAATTTGTAGAGCGATAGCAATCATTATGCCCCATGATTATTCAATGAGAATCACATCCCAGCAGACGCAGAGAAGTGGCAGAGCTGATTGATGCTGCTTGCCCGCCCCTGTGCCCTCCGCGCCCCCCCCCCCCCTTCAAGCCCTAATTTCCATGCAATACCCGTGACTTTCCAAGCCTGAAATCAAAGCAGGGAGGGACTTGAGAAACCAGAGAAACAAGAGGCAGTGACAGAGGATGGATGGAGAACAGAATGCAGAGAATATCCCATTACTGAACCAATGATTATGGACGGACGGGAGCGTGGGACTGTCACAGAGGTCTCGTTGTCCTCCCAGTACTGTAGACTGTAATGAGCGCGACCCTCAATGATACGGAGGAAATGAAATAATTAAAGTGTGCTTGTGAGCTACTATGACCCGACTTCACGGTTTGGTCAAAACACAAAACAAAGCGCATAAAAAGGTGAAGGAATATTGGATTGTTATCAACACTATCACAAAGTGGACATATGTGCACATAATTATATAAAAAAACATTTTTTCCACATTTTGCAGTTTTAGAATGTTTTTTGATTATCACGTTTGATTAAAAATTATAATATTTTATTTTATTTTTTGTCATTCTAAGCACTGGTTTAATATTTTGTTATTCATTTATTATTAGAATATTGTAATCATTTATATTCAGATTCTTTGGTTCACATACCACAATTGGGAAGATCAGCGGAGCGCTACACAATTTTATATTATTTTATACACAATTTTATATTATTTTATACACAATTTTATATTATTTTATATCTCGCTTGTATGGATGCTTGCGTTTTCAGTGCATTTTGCACCTTAGTGTGCTTGTTGGTCCAAGGGTTTTTTTTTTCATACAATTGAATTATTTCCATTGTTTGCTGTGGATGATTTGGACATTTTGTGGACATTTTTGTTACAATGCCTTTACAATCCCCTTACCTTTTCTTTTCTCTGAGGTGCCATGCAATGACTAATACCAATGCACGGGTACTCATGCAGCGGGCACTTGGAGAACATGCGAGGCAGCACAGTGGCTAAATGGTTAGCACTTCCCACTGGCAGCACTAGGGTCATTGGTTCAAATACCAACCACAGCACCACCAGCCTGGAGTTTGCATGTTCTCCCTGTGCCTGCGTGGGTTTCTTCCAGGTCCTCAGGGTTCCCCCCACACCCCAAAGACATGCTGGGAGGTAATTTGGCTCCTGTCTAAATTGGCCCTACTATGTGTATGTATGAATGTGAGTTATGAATGTGAGGGTTAGGGACCTGAGATTGTACACCCCTTGAGGGTGAATGTACGATATATATGTAAAGTGGCACCATTTGCCTGGAGTTTGGATGCTTTGTGGACATTTGTGTTACAATCCCCTTACCTTTCCTTTTCTTTGTGCAGATAACGGTGCTATGCAATGACTAGTACCAATGCACGGCTACTCATGCAGCTGGCACTTGGAGAACATGTGGGGCAGCACGGTGGATAAATGGTTAGCACTTCTGCCTGGCAGTAGTCGGGTCATTGGTTTGAATCCCAACCACGGCACCATTTGCCTGGATTTTGCATGTTCTCCCTGTGCCTGCTGGGTTTCCTCGGGTTTCCTCAGGTTTCCCCCCACACTCCAAAGACATGCTGGGAGGTGAATTGGATCCTGTCTAAATTGGCCCTAGTACGTGTATGTATGAATGTGAGTTAGGGACCTTAGATTGTACGCCCCTTGAGGGTGAATGTACAATATATATGTAAAGTGGCACCACTTGCCTGGAGTTTTCATGTTTTCCCTGTGCCTGGTTTCCTCCAGGTACTCCAGATTCCTCCCACACTCCAAAGACATGCTGGTAGGTGAATTGGCTCCTTTCTATATTGTCCCTAGTATGTGTATGTATGAATGTGAGTTAGGGACCTTAGATTGTACACCCCTTGAGGGTTAGGGACCTTAGATTGTAGGCCCCTTGAGGGTTAGGGACCTTAGATTGTACGCCCCTTGAGGGTTAGGGACCTTAGATTGTACCCCCCTTGAGGGTTAGGGACCTTAGATTGTACACCCCTTGAGGGTTAGGGACCTTAGATTGTACGCCCCTTGAGGGTTAGGGACCTTAGATTGTACGCCCCTTGAGGGTTAGGGACCTTAGATTGTACGCCCCTTGAGGGTTAGGGACCTTAGATTGTACACCCCTTGAGGGTTAGGGACCTTAGATTGTACGCCCCTTGAGGGTTAGGGACCTTAGATTGTACGCCCCTTGAGGGTTAGGGACCTTAGATTGTACACCCCTTGAGGGTTAGGGACCTTAGATTGTACGCCCCTTGAGGGTTAGGGACCTTAGATTGTACGCCCCTTGAGGGTTAGGGACCTTAGATTGTACACCCCTTGAGGGTTAGGGACCTTAGATTGTACACCCATTGAGGGTTAGGGACCTTAGATTGTACACCCCTTGGGACTGATGTGAATGTATAATATATATATAAAGCACTGCATAAATTGACAGTACTATATAAGTACCTGGAATTACTGTTCCTGTACAGTATTTATGCCTTTAAAGTGCACTTTCTAAAGAGTTTTGAACAGATAAAAGACTTATTTTTTTTACTTTTTTCTGACCTGAACGGATTAATTGGTTTTCAATGCATTCCTAAGGGAAACCGCGTTTCGGTTCACGAATTTTTCGTAATACGAATAGTCCTGCGGAACGAATTAACTTCGTAAACTGAGGTACGCCTGCGTATATATTTATTGAAATATATTTTGAAATATATTGAATACGGCCAAATATTGTAGCGTTTCAAATATAGGTCAATATATTTGGGAAGAATCTTTTAAAAATATATTTCAAATATATTTTTTTTCCATGTGGGTAGACGGTTTCGAATTTTGGCCGGTTCAGCAGGGACAGCGTCCCCCGCCAGGGGAACACAATGGCTCTACAGGAGGGATTCCCCCATCAGCACTGACTGCAAGAAGCAGAAAAAAAAAAGAAGACGAAAAAGAAAGAAAAACAGAAGGAAAAGAAGAAGAAGAAGTAGAAGAAGAAGAAGAAAAAGAAGAAGCAAAAGTAGAAGAAGAAAAAGAAGAAGTAGAAGAAGGAGTAGAAGAAGAAGTAAAAAGAAGAAGAAGATGAAGAGGAAGAAGGAGAAGCAGAAAAAGAAAAAAAGAAGAAGAAAAAGAAGAAGAAAAAGAAGTAGAAGAAGAAGAAGAAAAAGAAGAAGAAAAAGAAGTAGAAGAAGAAGAAAAGAAGAAGAAAAGAAGTAGAAGAAGAAGAAAAAGAAGAAGTAGAAGAAGAAAAAGAAGTAGAAGAAGAAGAAAAGAAGAAAGAAGAAGAAGAAGAAGAAGAAGAAAAAGAAGTAGAAGAAGAAAAGAAGTAGAAGAAGAAAGAAGAAGAAAAAGAAGTAGAAGAAGAAGAAGAAAAAGAAGTAGAAGAAGAAGAAGAAGAAAAAGAAGAAGAAGAAGAAGAAGAAAAAGAAGAAGAAGAGGAAGAAGAAGTAAAAGAAGAAGAAGAAAAAGAAGATGAATAAAAAGAAGAAGGAGAAGAAGTAGAAAAAGAAGAGGTAGAAGAATAAGGAGAAAAAGAAGAAGAAGAAGAAGAAGAAAACGAAGAAGAAGAAGAGGAAGAAGTAGAAGTAAAAGAAGAGGAAGAAGTAAAAAAGAAAAATAAAAAGAAGAAGGAGAAGAAGAAGAAAAAGAAGAAGTAGAAGAATAAGAAGAAAAAGGAGAAGAAGAAAAAGAAGAAGAAGAAAAGAAAAAAAAGAAGGAGAAGAAGAAGAAGAAGAAAAAGAAAAAAAAGAAGACGAATAAAAAGAAGAGAAGAAGAAGAAGAAGAAAAAGAAGACGAATAAAAAGAAGAAGAAGAAATAGAAGAAGAAGTAAAAGAAGAAGTAAAAGAAGAAGAAGTAAAAAGAAGAAGAAAAAAAGAAGAAGACGAAGAAGAAAAAGAAGAAAGAAGAGAAGAAGAAGAAAAAGAAGAAGACGAAGAAAAAGAAGTAGAAGAAGAAGAAGAAGAAAAAGAAGACGAATAAAAAGAAGAAGAAGAAATAGAAGAAGTAAAAGCAGATGTAAAAAGAAGAAGAAGTAAAAAGAAGAAAAAAAGAAGACGAAGAAGAAAAAGAAGAGGAAGAAGATGAAGAAGAAGAAAAAGAAGAAGACGAAGAAAAAGAAGAAGAAAAAGAATTCTAGTCCGCTATTATATTTGACATGAAAAAGTCTTGCGGTTGCAACAATGTATCTATTTGTATCCGAATAAAAACATCTGTAACCGAAATGGATACAAATGGATACATTGTTGCAACTGCAAGACTTTTTCATGTCAAATATAATAGCGGAGTTCTCTGCAAGCTCTGGGGGAATCGAGCGATTATATTTCCTGCAACCACAGAAAGAAAATCGCTGCGTTTATTGCCGGCTTTAAATCTATGCAGTCCTGTGTAGTAAACATGTATGCACACCGACGGCACCAAGCAATGCTTTGAATCTGTGTGTGCTCCAACCTCAAGCTCGGTTTTCCCGATGTCACGTTACAGGACATCTGCAGCTTAAGGCCGAGTCACACAAATAAATCGCTCCTACTATTGCTTAGATTTTCTTTCAAAATGGACATGAAAGTACAAGAAGGATTGCTTGGACACATGATGAGGGTACATCGCTCTGTAATTTGTTTCTGCCCAAGCATGTTTTTCTACAGTGTGTAGATGTGATAAGAGCTTTTCAAATTTGAGGTCGGTAGGAGTCGGCTCTGTGACAGCCCCAGGCCCTCGGCCTTTACAACGAGAATCACGCAATCTGCCCACGGACGGCAAACAAGATGTACTCACGTATTCTGCAGATTCCTCGGGTCTCCACTGGGAGGGACAGAGAGAAGAGGGGTAAATGGGATATGCAGGAAAAGGGTTACAACAAGCAGGGGTGTACACAGCTAACGCTGGCTCTATGGGAAGGGCGACATGCTGGGGATAGATGGAAGATGTACACATGTAACAGAAGGACGGGTCGGGGGAATGTGAGGAATGGATGGATATATTAGCTCTGCAAAGGAGGGATGCATTGGAGGAATTTACAAAGACGGGTGCAGGTAAATCACATTTATTATCGGCAAAAACTCGATTGTTAATTCTCTGTTTAGCGGCTAGATTTGCATCTGCCTAAAGTCTGGTACACAAGGGCCACATGTCTGCCGGTACACACGGGGCCGAATATCTGCCGGTACACATGGGACGAATATCTGCCGGTACACACGGGACGAATATCTCCCGGTACACACGGGCCGAATATCTGCCGGTACACACGGGCCGAATATCTGCCGGTATACACGGGCCGAATATCTGCCGGTACACACGGGGCCAAGTATCTGCCGGTACACACGGGCCGAATATCTGCCGGTACACAGGGGCCGAATATCTGCCGGTACACACGGGCCGAATATCTGCCGGTACACACGGGCCAAATATCTGCCGGTACACACGGGCCGAATATCTGCCGGTACACACGGGCCGAATATCTGCTGGTATACACGGGCCAAATATCTGCCGGTACACACGAGCCGAATATCTGCCGGTACACACGGGCCGAATATCTGCCGGTACACACGGGCCAAGTATCTGCCGGTACACACGGGCCGAATATCTGCCGGTACACAGGGGCCGAATATCTGCCGGTACACACGGGCCGAATATCTGCCGGTACACACGGGCCAAATATCTGCCGGTACACACGGGCCGAATATCTGCCGGTACACACGGGCCGAATATCTGCTGGTATACACGGGCCAAATATCTGCCGGTACACACGAGCCGAATATCTGCCGGTACACACGGGCCGAATATCTGCCGGTACACACGGGCCGAATATCTGCCGGTACACACGGGCCGAATATCTGCCGGTACACACGGGCCGAATATCTGCCGGTACACATGGGGGGAATATCTGCCGGTACACACGGGCCGAATATCTGCCGGTACACAGGGGCTGAATATCTGCCGGTACACACGGGCCGAGTATCTGCCGGTACACACGGGCCGAGTATCTGCCGGTACACACGGGCCGAGTATCTGCCGGTACACAGAGGCCGAATATCTGCCGGTACACACGGGCCGAGTATCTGCCGGTACACACGGGCCGAATATCTGCCGGTACACACGGGCCGAGTATCTGCCGGTACACACGGGCCGAATATCTGACGGTACACATGGGCCGAATATCTGACGGTACACACGGGCCGAATATCTGCCAGTACGCACGGGCCGAATATCTGCCGGTACACAGGGGCCTAATATCTGCTGGTACACAGGGGCCGAATATCTACCGGTACGCACGGGCCGAATATCTGCTGGTACACAGGGGCCTAATATCTGCTGGTACACAGGGGCCGAATATCTGCCGGTACACAGGGGCCAAATATCTGTCGGTATCGGTCGGTGCAACAGAAAACATCCAACATTTGTCCCGTGTGTGTACAGCAGCCTGTCTGACAGAAGCCTGCCTAATTCCCGGCTTCTATCGAACGGGCATGCTGGAAAACCATCATCAAATAATAAAATATACATTAATTAAAAAAAACAAAATGTATCAAAAACCAAAATGTAATCTTAATAGTAAATATAAACTCATTTCAGAAAACAAATGAATAATCCAATATCATTTATCTGCTATTAATATATTTGTTATTAAGATTATATTTTGGTTTTTGATACACTTTTTTCACTTTTTTTTTTTAAAAATTATTTATTTTATTATTTAATGATGGTTTTTTTGTGATTATTGATTATTTGGTTAGAGCGCCAACTTTTTTCTATTTTTTTCACTTTTTACCTTGTTTGAGGGTGAGGATTTAGCTGCTCTTTTATTTAGATTTATTATATATTTTTGGTTTATTAGGTGTTTTTTAGTGGCGCTATCCATACCCTTTACTAATGCTGGAAAACCAGAAGCCAACCAGCATCCGAGCAGCAATCGCAGCCAACGGCTGTGCGCGCTGACCGGGGTGTTCTGGCAGGTGTGTGTACAGCAGCCTGTCTGACAGAAGCCTGTGTAATGTCCGACTTCTGTCAAATGGGCATGCTGGAAAACCATCATCAAATAATAAAATATACATTAAAAAGAAAAAAAAGTGTATCAAAAACCAACAAATGTAATCTTAATAACAAATATAAACTCATTTCAGCAAACAAATGAATAATCCAGTATCATTTATTTGCTATTAATATATATTATATTATATATATTATATATTAATATATTTGCTATTAAGATTACTGTATATTTTGGTTTTTGATACACTTTTCAACTTTTTTCTTTAATTAATGTATATTTTATTATTTGATGATGGTTTTTTGGTGATTATTGATTATTTGGTTAGAGCGCTACCTTTTTTCTATATTTTGGTTTTTGATACACTTTTTTTTTTTTTTTTTTTAATGTATGTTTTATTATTTGATGATTTTTTTTTGTGATTATTGATTATTTGGTTAGAGCACTATCTTTTTTCTATTTTTTCACTTTTTACCTTGTTTAAGGGGTGAGGATTTAGCTGCTCTTTTATTTAATTTATTATATATTTTTAGTTTATTAGGTGTTTTATAGTGGCGCTATCCATACCCTTTACTAATGCTGGAAAACCATCATCAAATAATAAAATATACATTAATTAAAAAAGTGAAAAAAGTGTATCAAAAACCAAACTGTAATCATAATATAAAAAATAAACTAATTTCAGCAAACAAATGAATAATCCAATATCATCATTTGGAAATGAGTTTATATTGCTATTAAGATTATATTTTGGTTTTTGATATAATTTTTTTTTCTGAATTATGATTATTTGGTTAGAGCGCCATCTTTTTTCTATTCACTTTTTACCTTGTTTGAGGGGTGAGGTTTTGCTATTTTATTTAGATTTATTACATATTTTTTGGTTTATTAGGTGGTTTTTATTAAGATTTCAGCAAACAAATGAATAATATATCATTGATTATTCATTTGTTTTTCTTTATTAAGATTATATTTTGGTTTTTGCACGTTTTTTTTTTTTTTTTTTTTTTTAATGTATGTTTTATTATTTGATGTGATTTTTTTTTGTGATTATTGATTATTTGGTTAGAGCGCCTATCATTTTTTCTATTTTTTCACTTTTTACCTTGTTTAAGGGGTGAGGATTATTTAGCTGCTCTATTTTTATTTGAAGGTTTTAGCTTTATTTAGATTTATTACATATTTTTGGTTTATTAGGTGGTTTTTAGTGGCGCTATCCATACCCTTTACTAATGCTGGAAAACCATCCTCAAATAATAAAATATACATTAATTAAAAAACAAAAAGTGTATCAAAAACCAAATTGTAATCATAATATAAAAAATAAACTCATTTCAGCAAACAAATGAATAATCCAATATCATTGGATTATTCATTTGTTTTCTGAAATGAGTTTATATTTGCTATTAAGATTATATTTTGGTTTTTGATACGTTTTTTTTTTGTTTTTTTTTAATGTATGTTTTATTATTTGATGATTTTTTTTTGTGATTATTGATTATTTGGTTAGAGCACTATATTTTTTCACTTTTTACCTTGTTTAAGGGGTGAGGATTTAGCTGCTCTTTTATTTAATTTATTATATATTTTTAGTTTATTAGGTGGTTTTTAGTGGCGCTATCCATACCTTTACTAATGCTGGAAAACCATCATCAAATAATAAAATATACATTAATTAAAAAACAAAAAGTGAAAAAAGTGTATCAAAAACCAAACTGTTATAAAAAATAAAACTCATTTCAGCAAAGAAATGAATAAACCAATATCATTGGATTATTCATTTGTTTTCTGAAATGAGTTTATACTTTGCTATTAAGATTATATTTTGGTTTTTGATTTAATTTTTTTTTTCTTTTTTTAATGTATGTTTTATCATTTGATGATTTTTTTTTTTTGGTGATTATTGATTATTTGGTTAGAGCGCCATCTTTTTTCTCTATTTTTTCACTTTTTACCTTGTTTGAGGGGTGAGGTTTTAGCTGCTATTTTATTTAGATTTATTACATATTTTTGGTTTATTAGGTGGTTTTTAGTGGCGCTATCCATACCCTTTACTAATGCTGGAAAACCATCATCAAATAATAAAATATACATTAATTAAAAAACAAAAAGTGTATCGAAAACCAAAATTTCAGCAAACAAATGAATAATCCAATATCATTGGATTATTCATTTGTTTTCTGAAATGAGTTTATATTTGCGATTAAGATTATATTTTGGTTTTGATACACTTTTTGTTTTTTTTAATGTATGTTTTATTATTTGATGATTTTTTTTTTTGTGATTATTGATTATTTGGTTAGAGCGCCATCTTTTTTCTATTTTTTCACTTTTTACCTTGTTTGAGGGGTGAGGTTTTAGCTGCTCTTTTATTTAGATTTATTACATATTTTTGGTTTATTAGGTGGTTTTTAGTGGCGCTATCCATACCCTTTACTAATGCTGGAAAACCATCCTCAAATAATAAAATATACATTAATTAAAAAACAAAAAGTGTATCGAAAACCAAATTGTAATCATAATATAAAAAAATAAACTCATTTCAGCAAACAAATGAATAATCCAATATCATTGGATTATTCATTTGTTTTCTGAAATGAGTTTATATTTGCTATTAAGATTATATTTTGGTTTTTGATACGTTTTTTTTTTGTTTTTTTTTTAATGTATGTTTTATTATTTGATGATTTTTTTTTGTGATTATTGATTATTTGGTTAGAGCACTATCTTTTTTCTATTTTTTCACTTTTTACCTTGTTTAAGGGGTGAGGATTTAGCTGCTCTTTTATTTAATTTATTATATATTTTTTAGTTTATTAGGTGTTTTATAGTGTCGCTATCCATACCCTTTACTAATGCTGGAAAACCATCATCAAATAATAAAATATACATTAATTAAAAAAGTGAAAAAAGTGTATCAAAAACCAAACTGTAATCATAATATAAAAAATAAACTAATTTCAGCAAACAAATGAATAATCCAATATCATTGGATTATTCATTTGTTTTCTGAAATGAGTTTATATTTGCTATTAAGATTATATTTTGGTTTTTGATTTAATTTTTTTTTTCTTTTTTTAATGTATGTTTTATTATTTGATGATTTTTTTTTGTGATTATTGATTATTTGGTTAGAGCGCCATCTTTTTTCTATTTTTTCACTTTTTACCTTGTTTGAGGGGTGAGGTTTTAGCTGCTATTTTATTTAGATTTATTACATATTTTTGGTTTATTAGGTGGTTTTTAGTGGCGCTATCCATACCCTTTACTAATGCTGGAAAACCATCATCAAATAATAAAATATACATTAATTAAAAAACAAAAAAGTGAAAAAAGTGTATCAAGAACCAAACTGTAATCATAATATAAAAAATAAACTCATTTCAGCAAACAAATTAATAAACCAATATCATTGGATTATTCATTTGTTTTCTGAAATGAGTTTATACTTGCTATTAAGATTATATTTTGGTTTTTGATACACTTTTTTTTTTTTTTTTAATGTATGTTTTATTATTTGATGATGTTTTTTTTGTGATTATTGATTATTTGGTTAGAGCGCTATCTTTTTTCTATTTTTTCACTTTTTACCTTGTTTAAGGGTGAGGATTTAGCTGCTCTTTTATTTAGATTTATTATCTATTTTTGGTTTATTAGGTGGTTTTTAGTGGCGCTATCCATACCCTTTACTAATGCTGGAAAACCAGCAGCCAACCAGCATCTGAGCAGCGCTGCCAGAACACAATAGCTCAGCGGGGGAGATTGCTGTACTAACATCGAATAGTTTTTTTTTCGTTCGGCCCGCTGGGTTGAATGTAAACAATCTATCCTACCTGTGTGTACCAGGCTTAACATGGAACTTCACTCTCCCAATCAAAATTGACTATTTTGAATCCTTATGCTGCTACCATTAGTAAAAAGATAAGAAAGTATATCATATTTACTGGTTTTAAAATTTGATTTTACATTTCTTCAGTTACTTCCTGGTTTCTATGCCTAGGCAAATGATGTCATACATCCCAGGAGTCTTCAAGAGGGGGAGGAGGGGTCTTCTCAGCTAAGCATACCCTCCTGCTTGCATGCCTGAGCTAAAGTGCAGATGGATTCCAGGAAGTAAATGCTTCATGAGCAGGGGCAGACTGACAACTCATGGGGCCCCCGGGCAATAGGAGATCATGGGGCCACTGTGTCCTTGCCCTAACTCAAAAAAGCCTATGAAAAAGGTACCAGGGGCATCTCATGGGGCCCCCTACTGACCCCGGGCAGTGCCTGAGTTTCCAATGGTCAGTCCACCCCTGTTCATGAATCATCTGCCCTTAGGAAAGATGGCCCTGGCCAGAAATGCTAGGAGGGTATTTTTCAAAGGGATGTCTCAGCAATATAAAGCATGGAGACATGGATGGATGGATGGATGGACTTGCTTTCAAGGTTTTGGTTCTCAGATTCAGTTTAGTTCCACTTTAAAGATGACCTGTCATGACAGAAGCACGTAGGAGGCCACTGCTTAACACCTCCTAAAAACAGCAGCTGATGTTAATGCTGATCCTCTGTCTTCAGCCCTTCCTGAGTCATTAAACAGCTAAAAAAGATCAGGGAATATCACTTCGCTTGCTGATTGCTTGCTCTGAGACAGTGACTCCAGACCTCAAAAACCCACCAACCGGTCATGTTTTCAAGTTTTCCCTCAATTTCCACCAGAGGTGATGTATCCCCAGAGCTGAGGGAAATCCTGAAAACATGGGAGTATTGAAGGACTAACAATGAGATCACTGCTTTAGAAAATGACCATGGAGAATGGAGAAAGAACAGGAGCACCCAGGGGCAGATTGACCATTCAGCACTGCCCGAGGGCCCAGGGTCAGTAGGGGGCCCCATGAGATGCCCCTAGTACCTCTCATAGGCTTTTTTTGGGTGTGGTTTGAGTGTGGCGAGGACACAGGGGCTCCATGATCCTCTATTGCCCGGGGGCCCCATGAGTTCTCAGTCCGCCCCTGGGAGCACCACATCGGAATGCCGAAGTCAAAAAGCGTTTATTCCAAGAAAGGGTTCCAGCGAACTCTGTATGTTTGGCCATTAGATCTCGAGGGCTTCAAAGTGCCCCCTTCATCAGGGCTTGTTCTAAAGAGTAGAATTCAAAAGGATGGACGTCTACCATTGGTGGACTCTTAGAATGAAGAGGAAAATGAATGTAAGTATTATAAACAGCTATGCAGGCACACTCATCGGCATCATGGTTGCTGCCGATGACTGATGTTCCAGTGTGGCAATTCAACACTGCGGTGTGGCGCTCCTGTTCTTCATTCCTCCTTCAGTTTCTTGGACCTCTTCCTTTTATAGGAGATGCCAGTCCATTATCAAAAATACTGCACACCATACTTTCCATGATGCGTTGGCTAAAGGAAAGCAACCTTAGTAATTTAGTGCTCTCCATCCCTCCAGTTGTTGGAATATGACCTGAAAAAGTCAATGGTCTGCCATGCGATGTGAACCAATCTGGTCAGCACTGAAGTTACTCTGCACCCTACTTGCACTATGCACCCCAGTGAAGACTCACAATTCACTGTCAGTCTTTGTAAATTCCCCCCACCAGATACTGCAGGACTCTCTTTAGCAGGTGTTACTCTAATCTTAGGATTAGTTTGGGGTGGGGGAGGTGGGAAGGTCACACCAGTGGAGATCCAATATGTCCAAAGCTTGAGCCAAAAACAACGCCAACAGTTTTCTCATCAACTCACCTGAGCCTCAGCCAGCATTACGTCCTTAATGATGGGGCTGCCACGAGGTTCTCCACCCTCAAGGCGGACGTAGGTCACTTGATAGCCACGGATCTGCCCGTTCTGCTTCGTGGGAAGTGGTGACTTCCAGGTAACACGGATGGATGTGGAATTGACAGAGTCCACCTCGACCTTCCTGGGAGGAGCGCTGGGCACTGCAGAGGGACAGGAAGGGAGGATTCAAAAACCCATACATTAGAAAACAGAATGAAGTCTGAAGAAAAGTGTGAAACAAAGGATTGACCACTTGCAGCAGTGAAGGAAAGCAGATCTCAGCAGTCTATGCTACAGAGAAAAGGTCAGGCTGTCCAGCACTTCTTGACGTGCACTATCAAGGGTTAGCATGATCCACGCATAATTTGGTATTTGACAGCGGTTGTGTGGCAGGCACTTGAATGCAAGGCACTCTGGGAATGAATGGGGCGGCCAAATCACACATCATGCAAAAGACCTTGCCCCTTCCTATAATGAGCACCTAACTTCTTAATGAATTTCTCGCAGTGACAGGGTCTCCTGGTAGGCCATCCACTGATACTTACCCTCGCTGAGCTTCCCTTCTGCTGTCTTCATCTGCTGGTACCCTCAAAAAATACCCACTACTGCTCCGTATGGGGGAGGCATGTGACCATCACTCCCAGGATGCAGCGCCTGAGTGGCCAATCCCCAGGCCTAAACACTGTCACATGGGGACAGGAGGTCATTAGCCCTGTTAAGTATCAGTGGGTAGGAGGATGTCCTGAATACCCAAAGCGACTCATATCTAAAACCAAAAGTTTTTTCATTCTGGATATTATAATAAATAGAAAAACCCCCATCAGTTTTTTTGCCATCTGTGTCTCATTTGAGGGATTTTCCTTCACTTCCTTTCCAGTAGACACAACAGAAAGTGAAAGGAAACCTCTCCACAGTGAGGGAATCCCACTCTTAGGCAGCTGTTACCAGAACAAGTGTCCCCGTTAGAAGATTTCCACTCTATTTTTTGGTGACAACTTAACATTTTGGATTTTTCATTCTCCTACAGTCAGTGCCAGGACAAGGTCATCTAGTGACCAGGGCGAAGATACCAAATGGTGGCCCCCATAACCCAAATGTATGAGCATTATGTGCCAGCAACATTCCCTCCCCCCAAAACATTGAGCACTAATCTCCACCCTTACCCCTAAGCAGAAATTCCCTGTGCAAGCCAAAATTCTCCCCAAACAAATCCCCTCTTCCAGTACAAATCCCCATCCCAGCAGAAATCCTCTTCCTCCCCAATTTCCCCCTCCTAGCACAAATCCTGCCCCTGAAATTTCTTCTCTGAGCATAAATGTTCTCCTCGCCTTCAAATCCTTTCCTTCCCATTTACCCCCTTCTAGCACAAATCCTGCCCCTCATATTTCCTCTCTGAGCATAAATGTTCTCCTCGTCTTCAAATTCTCTTCCTTCCCATTTACCCCCTTCTAGCACAAATCCTCCCCCTCAAATTTCCTCTTTGAGCATAAATGTTCTCCTTCCATTCAAATCCTTTCCTTCCCATTTACCCCCTTCTAGCACAAATCCTGACCCTCAAATTTCCTCTCTGAGCATAAATGTTCTCCTCGCCTTCAAATCCTCTTCCTTTCCATTTGCCCCCTTCTAGCACAAATCCTGCCCCTCAAATTTCCTCTCTGAGCATAAATCTTTCTCCTCCCCTTCAAATCCCCCTCTCCCAGCACAAGCGCCCAAATCCCTTCTCCTAACACTAATCCTCCGCACCAAATTTCCCCTCCTAGCACAAATCCCTCTTCCTAACAAAATCAACCCTCCTAATATAAATTCCCTCTAAATCACCCCTTTTAATACAACCCCCTGAATCCCCGCCATGTCCAGGGCAGCCGCCCCTCCTGCCCAATCCTTGTCCCAGTGACAATGGCCACCAGGACAAATAGAGAGTGCCTAAATCTCCCCAGCGTCAACACAGACAGCAAAAAAACTGATAGAGGCTCTAATCCTTCCCCACTTCATCAAAAAACTAAAAAAAATTGTTCTGGCTTCAGATACACTATGACTTTATGACTGTTTTTAGTCAAGCTCCCTGTAAGTGGGAGGCAGCAAGGAACCTGCAGTGAGTGTGTTTGTGAATACTTATCGGGGTTCCCAGAGTGCCCAGAAAAGTGAGTAGGGTGTCTCGGTGTACTAGAATGCCTAGGTGAGAAACTGAAGCTGTGAGCCTTAAAGTGGTTGTAAACCCTTAAAAATACTCAATGATGTGACCGGCCTCAGGTGATACACAGAGATTAAACAAATCCTCCTACATAAGTTGTAGCTGTTTATCTGCAGTCTTCTCTTCTCTAAATTTGTTCAAATTGCTGAATTTTGTAAAGCCTGTCTAAGAGTTCAGAAAAATGGGGGGCGAAGAGCTGAAATTTCACACTGCAGAGCTCAATGAGGAGAGTTCGGAGATCTGATTGGAGGGAAGAGACACCCCCTCCACACAGCATACAGGAACAGAGCCGAGGCTGTCAATCTGCTGGAGGCCCCTCCCCTGTCACAATTTTTCTCTTGGTGTCAGTAAAACTTGTCAGAAGTGATTCATGCTGATAGCAGAGTTAGGAGGCAGCAGACAGAAATAACATTTCATGCTCTGGACTGAGACAAATACATACTATAAAGGGATATATCCTATGGAACTCCCTACCCCAATCTGTCCGGCTGTCTCCTAATCTATCCACCTTTAGACGATCCCTGAAAACCTCTCTCTTTAAAGAAGCCTATCCTGCTTCTACCTAATAAACCGCCATTTATTTCCTCCATCAGCTCACCCCCCCCACAGCTGTTACCTTTTGTATCACTCAACCCTTCCTCCTAGATTGTAAGCTCTAATGAGCCGGGCCCTCTCTTTCCTTTTGTACCAAATTGTATTGTAATTGTAATGTCTACTTTCATTTTGTACAGCTGTCAGGGTCCTGTTCCCCGGCAGAAGTTCAGGAAGATCTGGCATTTGTGCCAGTACTCTGCATGGCCGCAGAAGTACACATCAGCCTCAGTTTGGTGCCATACGGCCTTTATAAGGAGGCTCATCACTTCCTCAAGTTGCTGGATGATCTCTAGCTCCCCGTGCCCTGTTCCTGGTTCCTGTGATTCTGACCCGTGATTTCCTGCTACTGACTCGGCTTGCTCTTGGACCTGTCTACTCTGCCTTACCCCCTGATCTGACCTCGGCCAGGCTTACGGATACTCTCTCTCTCGCTCCTCTGTGTATGACCTCGGCTATCCCATCTGACTACGTCTGCTCTGATTCCCACCTGGTACCTGACCTTGGCTTGAACCGACTACCCAGTAAACATCCAAATCCGGGAAGGGCTTGCATACCACGCACAGGTGCCTCCTGTCTGCAGACCTATCTCCGTGCACCAACTGTGCTTCTTAGTGGACCACCAACCAGCACTCCTACAGGCGACTGGTGCAACTTTGGGCCTGACTCCCACTGTCCCACTCTCAGGGGAGTCCGGAACATAGCCACAAGGGAAGTCCTCTCTCCATTGGCCTCCATCACCAGGTACGTGATAGCCTGATTCCTGCTGTCCCACTCTCAGGGGAGTCCGGAACGTAGCCGCAAGGGAAGCCCTCTGTCCATTGGCCTCCACCACCAGGTACGTGATAGCCTGATTCCTGCTGTCCCACCTTCAGGGGAGTCCAGAACCTAGCCGCAAGGGAAGTCATTTCTCCATTGGCCTCCATCACCAGGTACGTGATAGCCTGACTCCTGCTGTCCCAATCTCAGGGGAGTCCGGAACCTAGCCACAAGGGAAGCCCTCTGTCCATTGGCCTCCATCACCAGGTACGTGATAGCCTGATTCCTGCTGTCCCACCTTCAGGGGAGTCCGGAACCTAGCCACAAGGGAAGCCCTCTCTCCATTGGCCTCCATCACCAGGTATGTGATAACAGCGCTGCCCAAACTGTTGGCGCTATATAAATCCTGTATAATAATAATATGCTTTGTTCATATTCCATGTCTGAGGTTTACAACCACTTTAGGGTTTAATATGCAGTTCTTACTGGAGGGCACCAAAATATTAAATTTTTCGGACTTTGCCAACTTTTTAGAATTCTGTTTTTATCTTTTTTGGACATCCAATGAAAAAAGTAAAACCGTTTGGTCACAGGTAGCGATATTGATTGGTTTTAGTGTTAGACATTTTGCATGAGCAGTTGAAGGCTAAAATTGGAAAGTGATCGTCATGTCACCTCATTGGCCTCGATATAGTAAACGCCACTCAGACACGGCCAGTTTAACATACAAATCCAACAAAATGGAAAATGGACGTTGTTTGCTGGAAATCCACATTTTAGACACAAATGTCTGCCACACTGTTCTCAGATTTTGGCATTGGGGGTGTGTTCCGTTCTGCAGTCACATCGAGCAGTGTGGTAAGGACAGAGCAGATGGAAGGAGAAGGACCAAGAAGGACAGAGAGCTTTCAGGTGCACACAGAGTGCTTGGTGCCGCAACCCGGGAAAGTTGAGCGTAGTGAGATAAGAAGCAGGTGATAAGGTGAGAGAAGCTTGCCCGCTGTGCAGAGAGGTGAGAACACCTCCCGGACACTTACCATCCTCGTCCGTCCGCACAACAACCGGGGGGCTCTCAGGCCCGGCCCCCACGTCCGTGTGAGCTCTCACCCACACCCTGTACTCTGTCCACTTCTCCAGATCCTTGATCTCCCAGCTGGAGACGTCTGGCGGGATACTGTCCACAATGTGGCGGGACGTGTCCTCCCCGGTCACTGCCTGGTAGGCCAGCGAGTAACGGGTCAGAACTCCGTTGCGGCTAGATACCGGCGGAGCCACCCAACTTACCCGGATGGCGGTGGAGCTAAGACTGGTACACTCCACGTCCTGCGGCGGGGCGGACGGTGCTAAAGATGAAAAGAAAAGAAAAATGCAGGCAAAGGGAGGGAGATGAACACGGTGGATGCAACATGGCGAGGAGGCAAAATAAAATAAAATACATGACTGTTACACATACACTGCTCTGTACTCCCTTCAACAATTCCAAACAGGGGCAGCTGGATGGGGATTCGGGTGGGGAGAGTTCACCTATAAATCGCACAGAATGTGACTCAGCTCAAAGTATAAGTTCATCTTTTGACCAAAAATAATAACTGTACATTTCTTTTGCAGGTAGAAAACTAT